GCTGTTTATTGTTTACTAGTCTTACGTTCGACATATGAAATAGACAGAGGTTGTAGCTGGGTCTGGTTAAGTTAGTCTATACTGTGGTTGTTCATTATATAACAACAGGAGAGTTTATAGGATCATTTGACAAAAATAGCCAATCAGATCGACCCAACTTTAACGACTGTCGCCTTGGCAACATTGATTTCCTTTTTCGTAAAAAATTGTACGGTTGCATTTTGTATATTATACTAAGCTTCGTAACTGTTTTAGTATGTCTGCCACTGCTGAAAGTGCTACAACATGCCCCAAATCTCGTTCTCGTTTAGGGTTCATTTTAACACATAATAATAAATAATACTGTTATCTTTTCATTGACTCTACAATAAACCAGATATTTAAGGGTAAAATGCAAAAACGCTCTCCTCAAAGAGATTCAGGTGAGTGATTTTCCCTTTTTCCAATTTCTGGAAGCATTTTTTTTTTACTCTCAAGGAATTTATTCACGCGAAGGCCTGTGAGAGATCTCTGGCGAGAATCGGATTCGATCGTAAATGAATGAAAAAAGTCAAACACCCATCAAATAACATCATCCCTTTAAACTGAATGTGTCAATTGCACCAATCCAAATTCAGTAGAAATAAATCAGTTCTCTATATTCCTTGGGAAATGTTGTATAGGAAAAAACAGTCTGATCTAAAGACTAGTTTGTGTCGAGTATATTAAACCCAATTTCTCTATTTCTTTGTGTACATAATCCATAGCACGTGAAGCAAGGTTTTGTGTTAATAATTAGATAAGGTCTGATCTAAAGATCTGGTTTGGGTTGAGTGGACATTAAACCCCATTTCTCTATCTCAATGCCATGCAGTGAAGTAACATTTTGTGTTAATTACAACATGTAATATGTATGTAATGTTATATTGTCTGATTTGAGGTATATTTACATGTAAGTATAATATACACATATACTTTTTAATAAGAAAAGTAGCAGGTGCTTTAATATATGTGTATATCTTATTACATATGATAACAATATACCAGTCTATATACCATATCTATATATATCTTAAAACACAATACAACCATCTTCAAAATAACAAGTGCCCTTTAACCCATGTATATCTAGTTACCGGCAGGTTGAATGCCTCCCAACATGTATAAATGTCTATAAATATACATTGCTATTACAATAAGTAAAACACCTGTTTTCTTATGTCAATGCTGTACATTTGTTATATATTTAGTAAACTGTTTGTTAAAGTTTACTCAGACAGACAGCAACAAGACAACAGGTAGCTTCTAACATCAAGTTGTACAGTTCTTTAAAACATCTGTATACTATGTGTACTATGTATGTGTGTTGTGGTGCTGCTTTGGCAAAATTCTATCATTGCACATCTAATAAATATTAAACAGAAAAAAATCAATCCGTTACATAACTGACCACAATACTTTTTCTGAAGACTACTGCAAGAAAGACTTAAAGTACAAGTCTATCATATTACTATAAGGGCATCTTGCCTTTCCTATATCGGCAGTCGGCACCATGATATATATAGACTAGTATACCACGATGACCTGTTTATATTCTAATCGTCTGTATATTATATATTTCAGGTTCTGTTTGATTTACAACGTACCAACAAAAAAATCAGCACTCAAATTGATTTAAAGGAGCTAAATCGCTAATATTTGGGACCTAGAAATTGACACAAATTGGTCGCAACGTATTCAATAATGTAATATGAATGTATATAAACTGATTTACATTCAATCGTTTCTGTTTTACTGTAATTTCTAATCAGTTATGTTCGACAAAATACACCAGACATCTCAATAGAATGGCAATCTCTAGCGTCTGTTTATTCCAGTCTGCACCGATAGTATTTATTACGCACGCTCTCCAGATAAGAATATAGTTTCACCATTTGACATGACTTGTGGAATATGTCTAGCCTTGTTCATTGAGTCCCTTGTTACAAATGGCGCTAAAACGCTTAACGATACACGATTCGTGTATCAATGGTAAAATGTTTATTTTGTCTTAAATATTGGATATCAGATGCCCATCTTTTTCCAGTAAAATCACAACATCCATGTTGATTTAAGTTACTGAATAATTCGTGTTTTGAATGTGGAAGACTGTGGATGATATTGAGTTAGAGACTTAGCTACTTTAAGGTAGCTTAAACTACAGATACAATTCTATTTATAAATTAATAAAAATCCATAAACGATATCCAATATGGATAAGTGTATAGTACATAAAAATAGAATACTTATATTTGTTGCTGTGCAACCAACAAAAAATAAGTTTTCTCTAATATTTCTATAAAAAAATAAACATGTAAACAATTATCATAAAAAAACAATTCAAAATAAAAAATTGGTTTGTTAATTGCTTTTGATAGATAATCTTTATTAATTATTTTAAAAGAAATCATTTGTAGAGATATTGCTATAAATAAGGCAAATCATCTAAAAAATCAGCTTCAACATACCCTGCCTTGTACATGACACTTAGCTGTGACGATAAAAATGGCAACATTTTAAAGCTAGATTTCTGAGATCAAATGAATTTATGCTACAAATGTTTGGAATAATTTGATTTTTTGAACAAAGAAAAAATATATTATGAGTTATATGAAGTCAGAAGAGTCTCCACAGCCCTTTCAACATTGACCTGATGTCAAGACTGCAGGTTTAATAACATGAAAATATATACATCGAAATATATACATCAAAATGGTGTATATCACAATTTGACTTTCAGAAGACGAATTATGGCAGGTAATCCGTCTGCAGGTGTCAAATGATAACCACACTGGTTTGACAGCTTCCTGAATAAGGACATACTGCCAGAAGTACATGTAATATAGAAAACTATAGGAGAAACTAGTGCGGTCATGGTGCTTGTCTATGTGTTCAAGTAAGAAAAAAAAAACATTCTTTTGAGCAATCTTTTAAACATTATCAACAGAGAGAGATAGAGGGGGTTTAATGTCCACTGTTTTACTTCAATTATACGCATGCGTGTAGGGGTGTTTAGCAGTGGATGGAAACTGGAGAAAACCCACGAGCTTGGACAGGTAACCCACTTCTTGTCACGTTCAAGCAGGGAATCAAAACCATGCCACTTTACTCAATGACAGACCTTATGCTGCAAGCGCTCGCGTTGATCATTCAGTGACCCAACCTCCCATGTAGCAACAGTATATGAAATAAAATAGGTTTTACATCCTATCTTTCTGCACCAACTGGGTCAATGAAGACATGCATATGCCATCCAGTGTCCTATAAAGGAAATTTTGCCTGGATAGCGACGCTATGACCTACATGTACATTCAAGTTAAAACTATCAAGGGATATTTTCTGTGTGCACCAACAGTATATGATGCCAAATCTATTTTTTTTTTTGCATTTTCCTTTTAATTGATGCCAAGAATTTTGTTTTAGTCTGTGCTAATATTAACGAATAATACTTATATAATATACTGACACGATGCTATTTATAAACCACAACCTGCAGACAACCCAAGGTAGACAGACATGTGGCATAAAGACACTATTCATGACTAATGAGATGCACTCATATAACCTCATGTCATTTCCAAAAAGATATGACTAATACAACCACAAGCAATCTACAGAGGTGAGAGTTCACAGGATCGAAGTTCGTCAGATGACATTAAACAAAAAGTTCCTTTTTAAAAGTCAAAAAAGGTTAATTTTAGTCAATATTTCACCAGGTAAAGATGGCTGAGTCAATAAAGACGTCATTACAAGTGTTTAAAATAAACATGTATCTTATCATTACCTCAATAGCTAGTAACAGAAATACTCAGTACATTTATGCAGAGAAATTCATACTTGTACATTACATATCATATCCAACATAATATTAAAGGAGAGAGTGACAAATGGGGTTTAACGTCCACTCAACACAAACTAGGACATTTTTTTGACCAACATATGTTTAAAACAACCATGTATCTTATCATTACTTCAACTGGTAGTAAGAGAAATACCCTGCAGCATTTACATATTAGAACTATAATATTTCCCTATTTGTTCATAGACTGAGAAAACAATTACTTACTCCTTGTAAATAAACCTGTATTCAGCATAGCAGTGTACAGTAACATTTAAGATTAAACACACATATTGCAAGAGCTAAATCTGACTATTGCAGGTCTTTCGTTAGACTTGAAATGATATCTAACTTATTAATTAGACATTAATTAACTTATCCAGATCTTAATCAACTCTACTGGATTTGAATCCGATCTGCTGCTCAGGCTCATTGACGATTAAATCATAAATCCAAAAATTGATAACCGTACTGAATTTAGTAATGATGATCGGGGATAGACCTAAAATTCAAAATCTACTATCTTGGTTCAGAGTGGATCAATTTGACTGAAATTTTCAGTATATTCCCTTTACATTATCTATTTTTTTAACTATTATAGTGAGAACTGCCAGCTCTTTATCTAATCTCCCATAATTCCCCTTTTATTATGAAACACCAGATTTAGTAATTATGTTTGTTTACTACTGTTAACAATGATTAAACAGATGATGAGATGTGATCGTTACTCATTCGGCCACAACAAAAATAAAAACTCTTCTGCATCAGATTATTTTTTTTAAGAATTGTCTAAGAACCTGAATATTTTTTTCCATGGCTAAATATTTTTTTATTATTATGGTTTTGCTTCATCACACAGAATCTTTAAAATTCAATCTTACCAGAGTTATCTCCCCTGTATAAAAAAACTCATGCAAAATGTCTAAAATGACAATTTCGTGCAATAATATGATTTCTTCAACAGAGAGAAGCCCTGTCCTATTGTATAATAATCAAATATAGTACATCAAAGAAACAGAGCCCTGTAGGCGTTAAATGAAAGTTATGAAGTGTACAAATCTTGGAAATTCATAGATTTCTTCCATAGAGAGAAGTCCTATTGTACAACATTTAAATATAAGACAATTAAGAAACATAGTCTTACCTTTTGATCAAATGCTGTAGGTGTTAAATGAAAACTATGAAGTGGCACAAAATACTCCTCTAATAATCCCATCATAATCACTAAAAATACTCCATCATGAAACTACAAAATACAAAATCATATGTCAAGCTTGGTAAACATCATTCTTAATCATGCATTATGCAAGAATTAAATCTGCCTATTACAGGTTTTTTTTAGCCCTGAAATGTTATTTAAATTATTAATTAGACATTAATTAACTTGTCAAGACCATAATCAACTCTCGATGCCATTAGATGACTTTGATATTTAGTAGATTTGAACATGTTTTGCGGAGGATGAAAAAACGTAAAAATGGACATCAAGACTTTGTTTATTATCATACATGTAACAACCCTAGTAATGACAATCAGAACTAGACTAATCACTGATAGCTTGGCTCAGAGTGAAGAAATTTGACTGAAATTTTCACCATATTCTCTTTTCATTATCTATTTTTTAACTACATGTATTATAGCGAGAACTGTTAGCTTCTTATTTAATCTTACCTAATGCCGCATTAATATATGTGGAAAGCTAAGCCTGGCTTAACTGATTGTTTTTACCTATTAGTTTATTTCACCTTCTCTGGGGATTACTCAACGAAACAAACAACATAATCAAATATCTGGCCTATAAATGTAATAAATTTCTATTTCTATAGCGCCAAGACTCCATAAAAATTGTGCTTGTAGCTCTTGACATGTTTGAAACAAATGTTTTCAAAAGTTTCTTGAATGATGATAAGGAGGTAATTGTTTTTATATATAAGTATGTGTTATAGTTTAATGCTCTATCCAGTCACTAAATGCCTTTAAAGGATCACATCACATCTGTTTTCAAGATTGACAGGAGCACATGTCACAGACTTTATCAGCCACCAATTATCACAAAATGCATGTTATAATATATAAGTCGTGTATGTTCAGGTTTATAAATAGTGACAGGTGTTAAATAAACCAACTTCCTATATTTAATGAACACTTACCTGGGTATCTAAATCAGAAACTTCTAAATTCACTTTAACAAGCTGTTTGTTCACAAATGTTACTAAAGTCTAGAAAAAATAAAATAAAAATCAAATACAATTTTAAGATTTGTTATCTAAGAATGTAAGACAGAAAGCAAATTCTTAAGGGATCCAGGTGCAAGCTAACAGCTTAATGCTAATTCAAGTTTAAATTAAATATCTTTGAAGGGCATTTAGTGAAAGCGATATATAATAACAGACAGCATTATGGACAACATTCACTAGGTTTATTAACTGCAACGTTTCAATGAGGTCACTCTCACCGTTATCAAGCAGTGATTGAAATGTTGCAGTTAATAAAACTTGTGAATGTTATCCATAAAGCAGTCTGTTATTATTTACATTAAATGATTGTTTTTACCTTTTTGACGACATTAAGCTTGTCTGGAGCATGATCAAATAGAGTATCAAATGCATCACGTTCTGTAATAAACAATAAACCAATCAATGGAATCAGGTTTGACAAGTAAATTAACAGATTCTATTTTCTGAGTATTACTCAATAAAAATAGATCTCTTTATCACAATGTATGTAAGTTTAAAATTAATAAATAAACAATAGATTAAATCCTGATATTAGGGAATACCAGGACAAGTGTATGATCGAAAATATTCCACTTGACTCAACAACAAACCCAACCCCAGATGTAATATTGATGTTATTGTCTAATTATTAGAGTTTAAACAAAGTTAAATAAGGTACACATACCAAATCTGGCCCCAATATCACTGAAAACAAGAAAACAAGAAAGTTAAAACTGATTTCATTAAAGTTTTACAAAAATAAGATGAAAGACGAAGGAAGATAACTCAAATTTATACACCACATCTGCCTTGTATTCTACTATGAATAAAATCATTGAAGTTTTCTTACTATTGCTTAATTCTTTATCAAGACTATCAAAATCATTCATTTTGTTATAATATCAAATATTACAAACATCTAAGTATGACTAATCAATTGGGTAAAATACATTTTGACAAGTATGGATGAAGCAATCCTAAACCCAGGAAATTCTCTTCTAAAGACAATAACTTTACATGTTTAGTCCATCATCTTATTATTTCTATATTGATCTTATATGTTTCTAAATTCTTCATACAATTTGAAGTGGATAAAAACAATAAAAATAAACTTACTCATTACAACCAGTAATTTCTTCAGCAACTTTTCTAGTTTGTAACAAACTGTCTGTTTTCTAAATACAAAATACACAAATATCATTCCGAGAGAGAGAGAGAGAGAGAGAGAGAGAGAAATGGGGTTTAATGTCCACTTGAAACAGAGCAGGTCACTCTGAGACTAACATATGGTTCAATTTTATTTCAATAATTTGCTTACGTGTTGGGATATTTAGCAGTGAGAGGAAATCGCAGTACCAGGAGAAAACCCAAGTACAAGCAAGGAATTGAAACCATGCCACTTGACTCAATGACATACCTTATTATTTAAAGGGCATGTGTTAAACCACAGATTAAAAAGAGGTGCATTAACCATTTGTACCAAACACTAACAAGTGGTGCTGTTTTGTTTATATCATTAACAGAGGATGCTAAATTTTGAGAAATTTTGAATTCATTATATCTTTGTAAATAATGAATGGAATTGAACCATTTTTGACAAATATTCTCTTGAATGACCCAACTTTCACAATATTGTATTTTGCAATGTATTCAAAATTTCATTCCATCTAAATGACTAAGCAGACCCTCCATCCTGCACCACTGACAAGGGGAAACCATGTCGGAAAATTGCAATGAACTTCCTTGCCCAATGCAGGGATCGAATACGCGACATCCAGGCTAGCGTCTTACCCACTTAGCTGCTGTGGCTCCCCTCAAATGACAATCGGCTGATTTAAATGACCATTCTACAATATTTCTAAGTAAGTTTTACCTGAACTACAACCAGAATAACTTGAACATTTTCTGGTAATCTGATTGGTGCACGGAAATGTCTGGCAAGAGCTACTAGTAGATGCAGAATAGCTACTAAATTCTTGGAATGGATACCTGTTAAAATAAAATAAAAAAATACCAACTTATACACCAATAAAAAAAAGAGAGACAGTGAATTTGCTTGCACATTAGGGGTCTACAGAACTGAGAGGAGACTAGACGACCCAGAGAAACCCCACAAATTGAGTCATAATGTAACTTTTTAAAAAATTTACTGTGAACATCTTCTGTAATTTTTTAAAATAGTTACCTACAACTGCTGAATATAAACAAGCTTGCTAATATCATTAACCGTTTTTTTTAAAACACCATCATCACAACAGTTCCTCTAATTGCGATTTGTAATCCACGTGGAAGAGACAGTAATAACAATATGAGTAGCATGACTTCAGTTTCTTTATAGCGCTACCAGAATGAACTATAACTATCGTTTAAAATGGAAGTGAGAGAGAGAGAGATGGGGTTTAACGTCCAGTCGACACAAACCAGGTCATTTCGGGACTAACATATGGTACAATTTTATTTCAAAAATTCGCTTGCATGTAGGGGTCTTTAGCAGTGGGAGAAAACCGGAGGACCCGGAGAAAACCCATGAGGTTGGACAGACGACCCTACTCCTTGTCACGTACAACCAGGGAAACGAAACCACTCCAGTTGACTTTATGACAGGCCTTAGGATACCGCGTGCACGTGCTAACCATTCGACCATCCACCCCCCCTCCCCCCTCCCCCCTAAAATGGAAGTACAGAACCAATCAAAACTAGGTTATACACAGACTTATCCCATTTTTCTTCCTGCTTTGTCTGATCTCACCATCTAGAGATCCTTTAATTTTAACCAGTAGAATGATTTGAACCTTGCTTACATGTCTGATCTCACCATCACAGATCCTTTAATTTTAACCAGTAGAATGATTTGAACCTTGCTTACATGTACTTGTACTTTCATTGACAACATTTTTTTACAAGTAATTTCAGATATTACAATAATATAATCACACTCACTGTCGACACTCCATTTTTGTTGATTCCATCCTCCACCTACATTTAAAATACGATTGATATAATCCAATACAACTCTCAATTTCTGTTTCTGTCCAATCTCAGACTGGGATACTTCTGGTGTTCCAACTTTAATTCCCTGTAGTTTCTCTGTAAAATACACAAACATAATCGTCAGGTACTGATACTTCTAATGTTATATAAATTATTATTTAGACATTAACTTACATTACAAGCCGATAATCAACTCTCTAGACCATCGGATGGCTTAGATATTGACTGCATTAGGCAATGACAGACAATACCTGTGTTAAACAGCAATACAGCATGACATCACTCATGATAAAAGGACTGACAATACAGATTTCTTTATTATTGTGACAATGGTAAGAATTGGATAATCGAGAATACAAACTGTGGGCAGAGTTTCCACTTATCAATGATCAGCTATATATGGCTATTTCTTGTCAAAACCTCAAACATTCACTCCTTCTCTCAGAATAAAGTAACTTGACTGAAACTTTCAATATATTATTTTTTATTAACAATTATTGAACTATAACTAGAATGGCCATCTTTAATCTAAATCTTACATAATGTATCTTTAAATGGGCATTATGTTTCCTTTAAGATATTGAAACAACACAATGGTCCGTCTGTTAATTAGATTGTAGCAGCAAAAAAAAAGAACAAAAACGTGGTCACATAGAGTGCATCCTCAGTATCCCCAGTGGTCTCATTCCGTTCATCCATGGCGGAAACATGTATTCAAATTATCTGCCCTTGATGATTGTGCTATTTTTATAGCTTGATAGCATAATGACTTGCCACTGCCTGTTTTGACTGACATAAAAACATCTTTCCCATCAAAATGATATTTTACGATATCTTTTTGTGTGCTTGTCACTTCTTTTATATTAAATTTCATGCAAACTTTCTTATAATCCAGTGAATGTAAACAATGAGGCTAAGACTGGTTTGTAAACTGTTTATTGATTGGTTCATAGAATCAAGCTACAATCAAGGGAAGACAATTTGAATACAGGAATACCCATGGATGTACCCAGGATACAGTGCATGGAGTGTGGTTTAAATTACCTATTAATTTCTGTAGAATTTGTCCATCAAATAAATCCTCTTCGATATCTTTTACCAAAATTCTCTGATCAGCCATTTCATCATTAATCCAATCAAGTAAAATCTATAAAAAAATTATAACAAAACTGTTGCTTAAATGGTATTTAGTAAGTGACAAGGATATATTATAGCGACATTTCAACTAGGCTTCTCTAGTCTTCATCAGGCAATGACGCCTAGTAATTGTTATTTAATTAATATACTTATTTTTATTTATTTAATAATAATGTTTATTTAGAGAGATATGAAAATGATTTCTACCCACAGACATTTAACATATTTAAGAAGTGGGAGCCCAAGTGGCTTATTGATTATGGTACTGGCTCGCTAACTGGCTCTGGATTTTTTGGTGTGGTTACTCCTTGTCTGTGGTGTAGAATGCAGGAACACTGTCTAGCTATTCGTTTCTCATCGATTTGTTAGTGTTTAGAAATGAATGAGATTTTTTTCTCAAAAAAAATGTTATTCCCACACAACATTTCTTAGCTGTAGCATGAATTGTATTGGGCATAAACACGATACCTGTGTGTTGTGTTAATAAATAAATAAAAACAGTTACTGAGAGACCTTATCATATACCAATATCTATTATACTCGCTTTAAAGGGCATTTAGTCAAAGCAATATATAATAACAGACAGTTTATGGATAACATTCATTAACTGTAATGTTTCAATGAGGTTACATGATAACGGTGTGTATACCCTCACTGAAATGTTGAAGTTAATAAGCCTAGTGAATGTTATTCATAAAGCTGTCTGTTATTCTATTATACTCACTTTAATAAGTTCCTTTAACTTTGGATCTTCTCTAGATGCAGGATCAATAATAGATCTCTCTTCATTATCACCTGTAAAAATATAAATAATTATCATGTACCAATTCCGACAAGAGAAAGAGAGAAATGGGGTAAAAGCTGCTTGACTCCATGACCACTTGACCACCCAACATACCTTAACTATGGCAAACACAGTTGTACATAGATTTTACATCTATCAGTTAAACTTCAAACACAGAGAGAAATGGGGTTCTGCATACACTTGACACATTTCGGGACTAACTTGTGGTTCAATCATATTTCAGTGATTCGCTAGTGCATAGCGGTCTTTAACAGTGGAAGGACACAGAGAAAGTTTACAAGGTTGGACAAGTGACCCTACGAGTCCTTGCCACATACAAGCTGGGAATCAAAACCATGCCACTTGACTTAATGACAGACCTTATGATTTAAAGCTAGGGCATTAGACCACTCAGCCAGTTACCTCCCCCTCCCCCATTTCAAAACAAAGTTGTTTAACACAGGTCTGGAAATAATGACTTTAGTATCTGACAAAATGTTTGACACTACTGAAGTTGGACCTGGCATATTTAACAATGTGCCAAAATAGATAAATTGATGCCAAACAAAATGACAGGTACCAAAAAAAACACCCACTGAATTTGTATCTTATATTGCTTGGCTAGGTAGTATTCGATTTAATAAGTCATCAAACATTACTGTAAAAATAATTACAAAGGTGGAGTATGCATAAAAATGCTTTGGGTTAGAAGGGCTAAAACTTACTTGAATACAGGAAAGCTCAAATGAGGGTTATATAGTCAAACCACTCATACACAGCAAAATAATCAAAAGAATAGTGCCAGAAGAATGCCTTTTTGTTCATACATTGTATCATACATTGAACAACTACACCATAGCATTACCGAGTGACATCAATATAAAATATCACTACTGTTGTATTCGGACCATGAGTCTCGATTGGAACTCAAAGAGATACACATAGATTTAACCGTAAGTATTCTGCTGCATGTACGCATACACAATGCAGCCCTAAAATGGATTAAGCTTATTGATAAAAAGAAAGACTTACCAAGTACATAACCTTCAGGTCCTATATCAGGGTTTGTAGGACTAGTTGGTGATTCTATAGCATGTTTACCTTCTTCAACTAATTCACTAACTAAAATACATAAATAAAACAATAAGAGAGTGAGAAAGAAATGGAATTTAACGTCCTCTTGAAACAAACTAGATTATTTCTGGACTAACATAGTTTAATTTTATTTCTATAATGCGCTTGAGAGTACCAGAACCGTAGATTACATGGACTAAGAGTAAAAATGGTATTTTACTTTCATTTGTTTTCTGATTCAGAATTTGCGAGTGTGCAAGTTCAAGTTAGCAGACTATGCTCATAAAAATTAAATAATATTTTACTTTCACTTTCAAATTCAGTACTGTCAGTGTGCAAGTTCAATTCATCATACAATTACAATGCTCACTTGCTCAATGCAGTGAGACGATCAATCCTGCAGGCTCAATACACACCGGTTATTATGAAGCGAATGAACTGTATCATGTAGCTGTAAGTAGAAATACTCCTTCTAGGCCTGAATATTATCATTTGATTGACACACATTGCTAGTGACAGCAACCGCCCAAAATAATAATAACAAAAATAGTGGCTGCCTATTTTAGTAACTACTTCTCTATTAGGCCTAGTCCTACATTAGAATAGCAAGGATCAAATGGATCCATTAACAATCGCAACATAAGCATTAACTTGCAAAAAATCTGATTAGCCTGTCCGATTTAAATTTATAAAAGTATGTTGAATCTGACAGGAATGTTGCATCTGGATGATCTCCATAAAAGGAAGTAAGGAATTTGGAGGTTTGGTAAAGCTAAAAGCTAGCCTATCGATGTAAACATTTATATTATATCTTACTAAAACTTTATTGAACCATAACAAAAAATTGCACAGGGGTTCTACAAACCTTCCTTTATTTTCTTCTTGCGTCCAAGTGTTCCAATTTTATCCAAGAACGACTCATCTTTCTTTTTTGGCGTAAGAGTAGCCGAAGTGTTAGGAGAAGCTGCCATATTGGATTCCTTAACTTCCGGAGAGTGTGAAGGTCGTTTGTTCATCGGCAATCCCACCATAGACTATGCCATAGAACTGTATCTACATGTATTATAATATACGATCTATGATCTCACAAAGGTCGAAGGGCAATTATACAATCAATGTATAGGAAAAGTGCGATATTTAATTGTCTATCTTTAATCAGATTCATCCATATTATTTTTTTCTGAATATAGATACATATTATCTCGGTTGAATACCTTGTAATTTCATATCGTGCCATAATATTTGTAGGATTTTTTTTGACAAAAGGCGGCCTAGCTCGGTCATACGTTTTTTTTTCGTAAAAACATCAAAATTCTCTTAGTGACATCTGCAAATAGCCGAAAGGTCGCTTTTACCAGGACTTTCAGTGTGTAAATTATTAACAAAATATTTGAGAATATGGAACATATAATAGCTTCGAGAAAAATTTTCCTACAATAATAGGCCTAATAATAGTAATAGTAATAATCTTATAAAAATATAAAATAGAACATTAGTTTGGTGGGGTATTTATATTTGTTTTCGCAAGAGGAAACCAATGGGTTGAATTTATAAATTTAAAAATAACTTCATGATAAAGTTTTTTTTTTTTGTTTTTTTTTCTATTTTAAAGAAAACAAAAATATTTATTGTGCATTTGGTGCAATATTTAAGGAAGAAACTTTAATGATTATTGCGTTATTTTGGATGTGACAAAAATAGAGATAGTAGGCCTAGAATTAGGTCACTTCGGCGACACACGGAATGTTCTTTTGTCGTGGATGCTTGTAATCCCGTGACTTTATCATGTCATTTTAAATACGGTATGCAAAGTGTTTATTTTCTAAATAAACTTGATTCTGGCTGTTGTAAATACCGAAATTTCAGTGTTGGATTTTTTTCTGTAGAAAACAACGGTAAAACCGATTTATAGGACGTGCATGGGAAATATGGAAAAAAGAAGTTCAAGGTCGGAGATTTTTTTCAATAAAATAAGATCGATCAAGTTTTTTCTATTTTAGCCACGTGATCTCCAGTCTACAACGAAAGTGTGGCCAAGTCAGAGTATACACACAGGGTATACCTAAGTGCACACCTAGGGTAAACTAAGTTCACCCCCAGGGTATACCTAACTGTACACCCAGGATATACCGAAATGCACAACCAAGCATAGGCGTACGAGCTGGGCCCCCCCATTTTGGGCACCAAATGCTGAGAAAATTTGGGCACACAATTGTATTTTGTAGAAGTTGTATAAAAAAGATATTGCGTTCTTGAATGTGTCCAATTTAACAGCGAATTTATTATTATTATGTAACATACTAAGAACCTAACTACATTTTTTGGGCACCAACCACCACCGCCCCCCCAGTCAAAAATTTCCCCGTACGCCCATGAACAAGGTATACCTAAGTGTACACCCAAATGTAAATGAAATGAAATGAATTGGGGTTATACCTTAGTTCACACCCAGAGTATACCTTGGTTCACACTAGAGTCACCTTAGTTCACACCCAGAGTATACCTAAATGCACACCCAAGGTACACCCAAGTGTAAATGAAATGAAATTAATTGGGGGTATACCTTAGTTCACACCTTAGTTCGCACTCAGGGTATACCCAAGTGTACGCCCAGGGTATACCAAAGTTCACACCCAGAGTATACCTAATATCACACCCATAGTATAACTACGTTCACACCCAGGGTATATCTAACTGTACACCCAGGGTATACCTAAATGCACACCAAAGGTATACCTAAGTATACACCCAATGAAATGAATTGGAGTTTAAAGTCCTACTGTTCTGCTCCCATACAGCACGTCATACAGTGTGCTGTGAAGGACATTTTGCCCGGACAGTGGCGCTACGGCGTGCGCGTATATCGAATTCCTACTAAGGGATCTTTTACATGCACGCCAATGTGTACACGGGACCTCGGTTTTCTGTCCCATTCAAATGACTATACGTTGTCCCTTGTCAGGCTCTCTGTCCAGCGCTACTAACAAGTTGAAATCACGCCGGAATATCCCGATGAACTTTCTTGGCCAACGCAAGGATCGAACACGTGATCTCCAATGTCTTACTCACTGAGCCTCCTTGGCTCCCTGTACCTAATCGTACAACCACGGTTACAGCTGAAAGATCAACGAATCACGATTCATGCATCTATTTTTACCTGCAGACCTACAGGTATACCCAAGTGTACACCCAGGGTATACCCATGTGTACACCCAGGGTATACCCAAGTGTAGCCCTAACTGTCACGTGTCACATTAAAAGAGATGAGTCACCAGTGATATATACAGCGATATCTTTGTTTTCATTTTAGATTTCAGCATGGAGAAAGAAGTAGACGAATGGGAAGAGAAATACGAGGCACTGAAAGAATTTGTGTTTGAGAAACTAGTCTCTTTTCAACAAAGATTAAATGTTGTTGAAAATGATTCAAAGGATTTCAGAGGCAAATTAAAAGAATTACAAGAAGGGTTTATTTCCATAAAGGAAGGAACGGACGAGACCAGAAGTTTGGAAAAAAACAACGTAAAAATGACGGAGAAGAAAAAAGAGGACATGCAGGGGTCAACTAACAGCAATCTACTTAAGATCAAAACTCCCCAGAAATCCTTAAATAAAACAGAAACAGCTTCCTGTCAGGTGGATAATTCAGATGATGAATAGATGCCGTCATCTCAATCTACTCCTATACCAGGGACTTCAGAAGGGAACCCGTTTTCTGTTACACCATCATCGTCGACAAAAAGGTTTACAATACCCAAATGTGTGAAAGATGTTTCTGATCTGGAACTGCGGAAAAAGCTAGAAGCGACAGAACATCAAGTGAAATATGTCAGACACCGTGAAAAGCTGAGTTATTGTCAACTGGTGTATATCTATTATTGGTTGGATAAAAATAATGAAAAAGTATCGGGTAAGTTAAAGTTTTTCATTTAATTGTGTATGTATACATATATCAAATTATATATATTGTAGTTGTTACTGTCGGGTAGAGGGATTGGGTAGCCGAATGGTCGTACATCATAAGGTCTGTCATTGAGTCAAGAGGCGTAGTTTCAACCCCACAATTGTACGTGACAAAGGGTAGTTTCTTCTGCCTGACCTCGTGGGTTTTCTCCGGGTCCCTTGCTATAGAAAGGCCGTGGGTGGACGTTAAACTAACTCTTGTTGTATCAAATCTTAGAGATCATAAGATCTGTCATTGGGTCAATTGGCGTGGTGTCGGTCCCACACTCTTGAACGGGACAATGGGCAGTTTCTTCTGCCTGACCTCGTGGATTTTCTCCCGGACCTCCCTCTTTCTTTCCATTGCTATAGAAAGGCCCTATGCACAAGCGATTCATTGAATAAAATTTAACCAAAAAAAGGTCACGAAATGACCTAGGTTGTCGTGGGTGGAGGTGGCCCCCAGCCCCTCCCCCTCCCCGACACCCCCTCATGGTAGATGTTTTCCGCACTTTCCTTTATTTAATTTTTCAGGACGAGCGGCGCAGACCCTAAGGCTCATCAGAAATGGGGAACGGGATATGATGTGGACGAAGGCATGGAAACCATCCGGAAGTAGATTAGACTTGTTTAATTATCTCCAGGAAATCCTAAAGAATATGGCAGAAAAGAGGCGTTTGGATAATGATAAAGAATCTCTGATTATGGGTGAAAGATAAATCAGCGACAGTAACAAATTCTTTGTAACTATTCCCATGCTTGTCTGGGTTTGAGCTTACCTTATTGTATTATCATAAAAGTTGGGTTAATGTCAAAAGAAGCGTTCTAGTCTATATATACAAGGATACCGTATACTTAGAATGCTGGATATTTTGCAGTTTTATTTTGATGTTATTTTGATGTTATTTTGATTCTTGGGTGGGTGGGGGATGATTTACTGGTGTCGGTGTGGGTGTTTCCGATTACCGAATTTGGTATTGTACTTTCTAATAGCTGTATTATTATCTGCTAGCATCCTATCAATACGTCATTACCGTGTAGGGCTTCTTTATTTTAAATAAAGCTTTCATTTTTCTATTTTCTAAGTCTTCCTTTTCTTAATTATACGTCAATATTTAATTGACATAGTCAGCAGGGCCATTGGCAAAATCTTCACATATCTATGCATATATTACCCAAGCCGCATATACTCTGTTATTTAGCTTTGAATGGGTAATCCCTAAGTCAAATCGGGTTAACGAAGGATGTTACCCGTAGCACACTTTATGTATTCCGATTCGTGTATACTGAACCGAAGTGTGCACCCGGGTTATACTGCAGTATGCATCCGAGTTATACCGAAGTGTGCATTGAGTTATACCGAAATGTGCACCCGGGTTATACAGAAGTGTACACCCAAGGTATACCTGTAGCCTTTGTATAGACCTGTTTGTCAGTGCACAGTTAAAATAAATGCGTGATTTCAGATTTCAACATGGAGGAGGAAGTAGACACTATCTATCATGCGCACAAGGTGTTGTGAAAGGGGGCACAACTCTGGAACAGAATGCTGCAAACACTTAATATAAAATAGGATAGCCCTATCACGTTCACAGGATATTTGGCAAAGTCGTGGAGGGTGGGGCTGCGGATGAAGCTGGGGTGGCGGTTTAATTCCGGAACACAACAGGATTCATCCTCTCATTGCACCAATGCTTCACATTGGGTTTGAAAAGAATCTGTTTCAAGCTATTGCGTTCAATAGGGCCAGCTCCGCAACACATGATCGTTTTTACCTGTAAAAAGTCAGTTTAAGTAAGCAGCTTCACGGATTGAAGTAAAGCATACCCTACCTTGTATAAACGTCGCTAGGTTAAAATAATTTTTTCCATACAAAAATGAAAATTATTATAAAAATTCGTTCCTGTTGATTCCAATATAAAACCGATATTTAGGATTTTTAATTTTCGTTGGTTTTCTGTTATGACTAAATATAACTTTTATTTTTTGTTTGTATTGAAAATGAATGAACTGTTGAAAATAGTCTTTGCTGTAATTGTACCCAGCATCGGCGAATTTTTGGGTGGATATATTTTCGGAAATGCGACTGAAAGTATTGAATAATATGAGGTAAGGTAACTGGTGTGAAGCATTGTGGACATGAGAGGACGAATTTATATTGTCTTGTTTTCTTTTTTCAAATCTGTTTTGTGGGAAGTTGTGACTGAACTACAATCGCGACCATTTTTGGGCAGGCTTGCGGAATGGGGCGCCGGTAAGATCAACATTATAGTGCATTCTAGCTCATTTTGAGGACAATTTTCTACAAAGAGGAACCATGCTGTGTTTAGCTGAATTCGCCGACCCCAAACCCTTTTCCTCATTTCGCATGCCCTATAATTCGGCCCTGTCGTGGTTTGCTGTGGATATATTGCAACACTGACATTTTTGTATTATTTTCAAGAACCTTTCTCAGTAATTAAGCTGGATATGGATATTACAAACCCCACGGAAAAAAATAAAAAGATTTTCCGACCGACCCTATTTTTTTTTTTGGAGGTGGGGGGGGGGGGGGGACAAGTGACCGTAAACCGTACAGGCCAAATGGTGACAATAAATAAAACAAAGTACAGTTTTCAATACGTAACGATTGATGCATATTGGTGTATGACGTATGTTCTGATTAGATTTAGCACAATTTTATAGTCCTGTATAGTCCAATCAATGATCGATATAGTCCCGTATAGTCCTATCAATGATCGATATACCTAGCGCCCATCTACAACAAATAATAGCTCTTGCTGTAATTTTCTGTTATTCAATTACAAAAACTCATGACACGGCTGCTGATATCTACCGAATGCGGTAATTAAATAAATGTTTTCTGTTCTTTACAATTGAAAATTTACAAACATCAACGAATCATGATTGATGAATCTCTTTTTACCTGAAGATCTCTAGGTATACCTAAGTGTACACCCAGGGTATACCTAAGTTCACACCCACGGTATACCTTAGTTCAACCCAGGGTATACCCTAATTCACACCCAGGGTATACCTAAGTAGTAAGTTCACAGGGTATACCTTAGTTTACACCCAGGGTATACCCAAGTGTACACCAAGGGTATACCTAAGATCACACCAGGGTATACCCAAGGGTATACCTAAGATCACACCAGGGTGTACCCAAGTGTACGCTCAGGGTATACCTAGGGGTATACCTAAGATCACACCCAGGGTATAACTAAGTTCACACCCAGGTTATATATACCTAAGTGTACACTCAGGTTATACCTAAGTGTACACTGGGTATACCTTAGTTTAAACCCAGGGTATACCCAAATTCACACCAGGGTATACCTAAGTAGTAAGTTCACAACCAAGGGTATACCTTAGTTTACACACACGGTATAACTAAATATGAATGAAATGAAATGTATTGGGGTTTAGAGTCATATTGCTCTTTTCCGACTGGGCTAATGAAGACGAGCGTACGCCATACAACGTACTGTGAAGGAAATGTTGCCCGGACAGATGCGCTACGACGTGCGCGTATATCGTATTCCTACTAAGGGATCTTTTAAATGCACGCCAATGTGTACAAGGGACCTCGGGTTTCCGTCACATTCAAATAACTATACATTGAAATCACAAAGGAATATCCCGATTGGCTTTCTTGGCCAACGCAGGGATCGAACACGGGATCTCCATGTACCTAATCGTACACGCCAATGTGTACACAGGACCACTGTTTGCCGTACCATTCAAGTGACTATACGCTTCCCCTTGCCAGGCCCTCTGTCCAGCCCTACTAAGGAGGTGAAATCACACCGGAATATCGCGAGAAACTTTCTTGGCCAACATAGGGATCGAACACGGGACCTCCAGGTTAGCGACGGTTACAGCTGAAAGAAAGAATCACGATTAATGCATCTCTTTTTACCTGAAGATCTATAGGTAAACCCAAATGTATACCCAGATGTATACCTAGGGTATACCGAAGTGTGCACTCAGGGTATACCCATGTGTAGCCCTAACTGTCACGTGTCACATTAAAAGAGATGAGTCACCCGTGATATATACAGCGGTATCTTTGTTTTCATTTTAGATTTCAGCATGGAGGAGGAAGTAGACGAAAGGGAAGAGAAATATCAGGCTCTGCAAGAATTTGTGTTTAAAAAACTAGTCTCTATTCAAAAAAGATTAAATGTTGTTGAAAATGATTCAAAGGATTTCAGAGGCAAATTAAAAGAATTACAAGAAGGTTTTACTTCTGTGAAGGAAAGACCAGACGAGACCAGAAGTTTGGAAAACAACAAAGTAGAAATGACGGAATAGAAAATAGAGGACATGCAGGTGTCAACTAACCGCAATCTACATAAGATCAAAACTCCCCAGAAATCCTTAAATGAAATAGAAACAGCTTCCTGTCAGGTGGATAATTCAGATGATGAATTGATGCCGTTATCTCAATCTACTACTAAACTAGGGACTTCAGAAGGGAACACGTTTTCTGGTACACCATCATCGTCGACAAAAAGGTTTACAATACCCAAATGTGTGAAAGATGTTTCTGATCTGGAACTGCGGAAAAAGCTAGAAGCGACAGAACATCAAGTGAAATATGTCAGACACCGTGAAAAGCTGAGTTATTGTCAACTGGTGTATATCTAACAAAACTATACAGTTATATGGGACAACAATCACTGGTTTATTATACACAGGCACGACGTTTCGATGAGTATTCTCTTATCGTTATCAAGCACAAACTTGAGGGTCTATATATACTATTCAAAAAAAGTAGGGGATATTTGATTTTGGGGGCATAATACTAAAATATGCAAATGACTACGAAAAAAGTCACTATAGAACCTAACAGAAGAAACATTTCCAGTTACATGTGACGCCCAAACGCACCAATAGCTACCGCATGGAATGCAGGTGATGCTTGGGATCATCATGGGGGTCCAACCCAAGATTTGCACGACTCTGACTTTGAATGTTACAGTCATTGTGGCATTGAATTCCAGAAAACAAATTTTGATATGCGTCGGCTTACCCAAAATGAAAGGTTACGTGCCCTTGGCATGCTACAGATCGGCACAACACAGGCGATTGTGGCGCGGACGATGAATGTTTCTCAGTCTGTCATAAGCAGGCTATGGTCCAGATACCGTGATACACAATCTGTACAGGACAGACCACGCTCAGGTCGACCAAGGGCGACAACTCAAGCCCAGGATCGATTTATCCGTACCTTGGCCTTGAGAAATCGTGTCATCACAGCAAATCAGATCAGCGCTCGTCTTCAAACAGACACTGGTGTGAGAGTGAGTGACCAGACGATTCGGAATCGACTGCATAGGGGTCACCTTCGCGCCCGACGTCCTCGCGTGATCCCTTGTTTGAGAGATCATCACATTCAGGCAAGACGTCGTTGGTGTAGGGATCGTCAACACTGGGATAATCGACGCTGGAGCAATGTGATGTTTTCAGATGAGTCAAGGTTCACTGTTGATTTTTTGGACAGACGTAGGAGGGTGTGGCGTCGTCGAAACGAGCGCTTCCAAGACGTTAACGTCATCAGACATGATCGATTTGGGGGTGGTTCTGTTATGGTGTGGGGAGGCATCACTGTTGCTGGAAGAACGGCTTTACATGTTGTTGCAGGGCGTGTTACAGGCCAGTACTACCGGGACAACATCTTGGCAGTCCATGTTGTGCCGTTCGCACGACGTCATGGCCGCCGTTTCATCTTCCAGGATGACAACGCAAGATGTCACAGGGCCAGGATCGTTACAGGTTACCTCCAACAACAGAACATCACCACATTACCTTGGCCAGCACTGAGTCCCGACCTCTCCCCCATCGAGCATGTCTGGGACATGCTTGGACAGAGGTTACGTCAACGTCAACAACGTCCTGCCAATGTCCAAGAACTTGCTGCTGCGTTGCAACAGGAATGGGACAATCTGCACCAAAATGACCTTAGACGTCTCATTAGGAGTATGCCACGTCGGATCAATGCTTGTTTGGCAAACAGAGGAGGATTTACCCGTTACTGACTTGGTTGTGATGCTGTGGTAACTTTTCTGTTTGACCCCGGGTATCATTTTACCCTTATAATGGTCAGTCTGTGCCTTACTTAGTCTAACGATCATTTGGAATAAATCGATGAATGTGAACTTCATTTCATTTTGTCATTTGTTTCTTCGTCAGTTTCATTAGGTGACTTTAATAACACTTAAAAATCAAATATCCCCTACAGTGTTGACGATCCCTACACCAACGACGTCTTGCCTGAATGTGATGATCTCTCAAACAAGGGATCACGCGAGGACGTCGGGCGCGAAGGTGACCCCTATGCAGTCGATTTCGAATCGTCTGGCCACTCACTCTCACACCAGTGTCTGTTTGAAGACGAGCGCTGATCTGATTTGCTGTGATGACACGATTTCTCAAGGCCAAGGTACGGATAAATCGATCCTGGGCTTGAGTTGTCGCCCTTGGTCGACCTGGGCGTGGTCTGTCCTGTACAGATTGTGTATCACGGTATCTGGACCATAGCCTGCTTATGACAGACTGAGAAACATTCATCGTCCGCGCCACAACCGCCTGTGTTGTGCCGATCTGTAGCATGCCAAGGGCACGTAACCTTTCATTTTAGGTAAGCCGACGCATATCAAAATTTGTTTTCTGGTCACTAAAACAATTAAACTGATGTTTCCACCCTGGAATTCAATGCCACATTGACTGTAACATTCAAAGTCAGAGTCGTGCAAATCTTGGGTTGGACCCCCATGATGATCCCAAGCATCACATGCATTCCATGCGGTAGCTATTGGTGCGTTTGGGCGTCACATGTAATTGGAAATGTTTCTTCTGTTAGGTTCTATAGTGACATTTTTCGTAGTCATTTGCATATTTTAGTATTATGCCCCCAAAATCAAATATCCCCTACTTTTTTTGAATAGTATATATATGTACAATGCGAAACCATTCTTATTACTAATCATTAGAAGAGTTCAACCAATTAACAGACATATTTAACATCAAAGACCTGAAAAGCACCGTGTGATGACAAGGATATAGTTGTACATGAACCTTAAAACCACCCTGATATTGAAAAAGAAAAATGATTAGGGGGAAACCATACATTAAACAAACAGTATATAACAGATATAGCTTATAAACACACGGTCTTGTAAATAAAACCACATTCACAAGATGTTATGAAAACAAAGCATAATAGCACTAAGATAACACAATAAACTGATCCAAGGGTTATATATATATGGTGTATATCTATTATTGGTTGGATAAAAATAATGAAAAAGTATCGGGTAAGTTAACGTTTTTCATTTAATAATTGTGTATGTATACATATATCAAATTATATATATTGTAGTTGTTACTGTCGGGTAGAGGGATTGGGTAGCCGAATGGTCGTGCATAATAAGGTCTGTCATTGAGTCAAGAGGCGTGGTTATGAACCCACAATTGTACGTGACAAAGGGTAGTTTCTGCTGCCTGACCTCGTGGGTTTTCTCCGGGTTCCTTGCTTTCTTCCGATGACTATAGAAAGACCGTGGGTGTACGTTAAACCAACTCTTGTTGTACCAAATCTTAGATCATAAGATCTGTCATTGGGTCAATTGGCGTGGTTTCTATCCCACACTCTTGTACGGGATAATGGGCAGTTTCTTCTGCCTGACCTCGTGAGTTTTCTCCAGGTCCTCCGCTTTCTTCCTATTGCTACAGAAAGGCCTCTATGGACAAGCAATTCATTGAATAAATGTAACAAAAAAAAGGTCACGAAATGACATAGGTTGTCGGAGGTGGTAGATTTTCGTCTGCACTTTCCTTTATTTAATCTTTCAGGACGTGCGGAGCAGACCCTAAGGCTCATCAGAAATGGGGAACGGGATATGATGTGGACGAAGGCATGGAAACCACCCGGAAGTAGATTAGACTTGTTTAATTATCTCCAGGAAACCTTAAAGAATATAGCAAAGAGGAAGCGTTTGAATAATCATAATGAGTCCCTCATCATTAGTGACAAAGATAAATCAGCGACAGTAACAAATTCTTTGTAACTTTGCTATCCCATCAATACGTTCATTAACGAGTACGGCTTCTTTTTTTTAGATAAAGCTTTCATTTTTCTTTATATAAGTATTCCTTGTCATTATTATACGTCAATATATACTTGACATAGTCAACAGGACCATGGGCAAAATCTACATACACCTATGCGTATAGCACACAGCCCGCGTATACTTAGTGTGATTTAGCTTTGAAAGGACAATCCCTAAGTCAAATCGGGTTAACGAACGATGTTACCCGTAGCCATTGCTGTATTGAGTCTTTGATGGAGCGTGTCCATTCTCATCGTCCAGTAAAATCTCTCCTGAGTAAAATATAGGGCATTCTCAACGTTGAATATTGATATGGTTCATCATGTTATCTTCAGCCCAAAATGTTTTAATAGCCTCTATCGCGTTTACAGGGTTGTCAGCAGTGTTTGTAGGGGTGATAAGATGACTGATTTTTATTCTAAGCGGTATGTTACGTCACATCACACATGCATTGTTTACCTAAGAAATAGTAACGTAAACTGGTCCGAACAGAATGGCTAGATCTATTTCTTAAGGCCAACTCAAGATTTCGTCAAGGTCGCTGAGATTTAAATTAGGTTATTGCACATAATTGTTGGCAACATTGTAGGTTAAGCGTTAGGGCTAAGGTTAGGATAAGCGCTAATCCTGTTAACATCTCGTGACCTTTGACCAAACTTGAAGTTGGCCTTATGAAATAGATCTAACCGGGAAGAATTGCACCCTTTACTCATTTTACGCATTAACGTACTATTTTATGTAACCAATTTTTATCCAAACAGCTTTATTTATTCTTCTAATACTTTCAAAAAATGTTTAATTTGGAGAAGGAAAATAATTAATATTGTGAGCTAATTAACGTCCTACTGTTCTGCTCCGGCTGGGCTATAGAAGACGAACATACGCCATACAGTGTGCTATTAGGGAAATTGTGCCCGGACAGCTGCAACGCTACGACCTTATTTCCAATTCCAACTGTTAAAGGGACTATCCCGATTTGAACAGAGTCTCAAAAATAAAAGTCTGATTACGTATGAAATTTAAGCCCCAAAATATACAGGAATGGTGTATTTACATTGAATGAAAATTTCAGCTCAGAATATTAAGTTGTTTGGACGTGAGCGTCAAAACTGCTTATCCGGACACGTAACCCTTTTAAGATTTCAGGTCAGTTTTTTCGTTGGGTTACCTGATAATTGATTCCCGTTCCTTTAGAGGTCTATACAATGAATGACCGATGTGCTGTACTTGATAACGAAAGGTAAATTTCACCTACACATTATTTTTATAAAATAAAAGTCTAGTTTTATCACGACACCGCATAATACAGCTTGGGACACCAGTCTCCATTTCCAGATGAAGGCTGACAGGTTTAAGTTGTTTGAAAACGTATCACATATATTGAGTTAGTTGCTCGGGCCTAGGGTAGAGGATTTTAACGCAAAATTAGGCAGTTTTATTCTCGAAAATATTATTGAGATTGGCCCTTTAAGGGTTCTTTTACGCACACGCCAATGTGCACCCGGGTCCTCAGTTTTTTTGTCCCATCAGAACAACTTAACACTGTCCCTTGTCCAACCAGTTAAAACTATAGTGTGACACTCAACATACCAAGGTCTAATGATCAACTAATATATTGACCCTTTTCTTAATCTAAAGATACAACCGTTTGTTTGAATAGGCGCTGTGTAGTCCATGTAGTCTCGATTAACCAGATACTGAATGATCCCGCTCTATTATTGAAGAAGGTTTATACCAGGGGTCAAAGAGGTTGGCCGGGTTATTGTGATTGCTTTCTTGAGACTATTACAGAAAATCTGTAGCAAACTCGAAGGTAAGTATTAACATTATATTGGCAGTCCTGTTCTGTGGTATATGTCATGGTTACTGACAGACGGTGTAAATTATAAATAACAGGTATTTTCTATGCTTCGTTGCATAAAGTGTTATGGAGAACTAAATATTTCAAAAATGTATTAATTCATGACCTAGGACCTAGGTAGGCCTACGCGTCCCATTACATTTGCATTAGATCGATTCGCTGGCGAAAACTGCGTGGAAACGCCTCGAAATCGCGTACATGGAAAACGGGTCTTAAAATGGAAGTACATGTAATTTTGATTTTTTTTCTGTGCTTCTTGGCATACCGTATGTAACGGTCCGACGTCGATAAATCTGGTCAAGTAAACCCTGTTACGATTCAACGGTTCTTTTGCACTACATTTATACCTGATGAAATTCCACAGTTTCTAAGGCAATGTTCTAGAGTTAATACTTTTAAAAGCCAAATTAAGGCGTTCGTTTTGAAATTATTTTATAATGTGTAGACCAGCCTGTATGGCTTACTGGTGTCTATTTTCGCGTTACTCTTCATGTGTGAAATATATCGCTATTTGTAAAGCCCCTAGATGAGCACCCATTAGGTTTTTTTTGTTGCCCTGTATATAATTGAATAGGTCATAATCCAGCGGTCTAAAGTATTATGGACAACTAAATGGTTCAAAAATGTATTCCGGAAAACTGGTCATTGTTCATGGCTTAGATTTGAAGCAATTTGGATTTATATGTATTTTTGAGAATAGATAACCTTTCTTCTTCTCTCATTTGACAATATGCAAGATTAATATAAGCTGATAAATAGTTTAACACGAATTTTGCAGATGGCTGAATATATACGACCTGCATTTGCGATAATTTTACCAAATCTTGGAGGTTTTGCTGGGTTTTTGGCCATAAACAATCCCAATTGGTATAAGGTTAGTAGTATTTTGAGATCATTTCAATATGAAGAATTGAGATAAATAAATATTCCAAAACACGAAAATAATCATGTTTATTTTGACTTTGTGGCGTACAACACCGATGACCTTTAAACTGGTAATACGGATTTTTTTAAAATAATTTTTTGTATATTTTGTTGTGTACTGTGTCCTAGTATAATTCTTTATTAACCCACATAGCTGCACAATCTATTATTTCAGAATCTAAATAAACCATCATGGAGACCTCCAAATTGGGTAACTCCTCCGGCGTGGACATATCTTTACTGCACTATGGGATATGCTTCCTATTTAGTTTGGCGAGATGGTGGAGGATTTAATGGCGAGGCAAGACTTCCTTTAGCCGTCTTTGGTACTCAGCTGGCGTTAAATTGGGTTTGGACTCCACTTTTCTTTGGTGCCAAGAAACTAGGTCTGGTATGTAGTATAATCATTCTATTCTTCGTTGTATTCCGAGTACCGCGGTAGCTCAGTGAATAAGCTGCACAGAACGGAGCGCCCAACAAGGAACAGTGTCTAGTCGCACGGAAAAATCGACGAAGATCCGTAAAAGAACCCTTGACAACTGAATTCGGAATGGGAGGAGGCCGTGGTGCCGCTGTTCGGGCACAATTTCCCTCGTGGCACGGCGTATGGCCGTTTTCATTAACCCAGTCGATACGGAAAGGTAGGAAGTTAAATCCTTTTTCATTTCGTTGTATTCCGGATGTTTCTGTCGATTCCAGATAATGGCGTACTTGATCATCATACTCGACCATTTAACCTAGAAAGTGTGTTGAAGCTATCCGATTGGCAGATTAATCGAATACTCATTTGGCGACTAAGTATAACTGGTCGGGATGTCACGTAAGTCTGACAGGCCGGAGTAGATACGAGTATTCATTCGTAAGATGACGTAGAAAGGTTTTTTTCCAAGGATTCACTGGGCAGATGTCGGGCTTTGAGCATACACTTGGTACACAGAGTTATATATGATATAAATGTGTCTTCTCTTTTCTTACAGGCAACCATTGAAATAGGAGCATTATGGGGCGCTATCGTTGCCACAATTATCACATTTAATCCCATCAATAAAACTGCCAGTTATCTGCTGCTGCCTTATCTAGGATGGGTATCTCTGGCTACCTGTATTAATTATAGTATCTGGAAGAACAATAAGGATAGACGTGATTAAATTATTAATATAGTTACTAAGTGTAAGTTGATGGTTAAGAGCGAGACAGCAAGTAATATCAGTTGTATCAATGTATTACGCCAACGTCTTGCTGGAAACAGTTAAACAACTTAAAGTACACAAACTATCCCACATGTGCATTTCATTGAAATCATGAAGCGATTACAATAATTCCTTCAGGTATAAATAATGTAAGATTGACTCGTTGGTCGTGCTGTTATTTGAAGTGCAGGTACAGCAATATGAAAGATGACGTAACATTTGCATTTTAAAATATCACTAATTTTGAAGTATTTCCATACAAGGGTTTCATTTTGTTTATTTGCCATAGATAAGCCATAAAAATATACATTTTAATGAAGTCATATACATCCCTAATTGTAAAATTTAAAATGGCACTTTAGTACCAACTGGGCCACATTACGCAAATATTTAAGTGGAATCCCTAATTGTAAATCAGTATAGATGTTATCAGTGTAATATTATTCTTATATTAATGACAACTAATCTCTGTCCAAGATGGCGGCCATATCATGCTTGATTCCTGGGCCATAGAAGGGCTAAGCCAGTACCTCTTGTCTGGGATACGCCACCACTACAAATGTCTGGCAATTACATAGCTCTGTCGGGGGTACATTGTACATTGATATCTGAAATATAGTAGAAAATTGGTACACTTTTCAGCTAGGTTGACCCCCCGGGCTCCTGGTCTACTAGCGATGCCACCGAGAGTTGACTATGGTCTGGATATGTTAATTAATGTCTAATTAATAATTTAGATAACAATTCCGGCCTGAAGAAAGATCTGCAATAAGCAGATTTAGCTCTTGCATAATGTATGTTTAAGTTGAATTGAAAGTTTCTATAAGATATATACTCTTCAAAAAAAGTAGGGGATATTGAAATGCAAATACCTATGCAGGTTGCGATATGATAAATAGTCATGGACATTTGACATGCTTTCAGAGTATGTTCACAGATGAAGAACGTATTGGACCAACAGAACCATTGAGCTGCACATGTGACACGCAACAGCTCCATACGCGTGGGAGGGGTTCATTGTTAAATTTAAGACTTCAAGGAAGAGTTGATGAAAACTGCCGCGTGCTGGTTTATCTATCCATGTTTGCTTTCCTATCGGTTCTTGCATAAGATTTACTGTTTAACGTATCTTTGCTTTAGTGTGTTACGTTTAATTTAATCGGGAGATGTATTCGTCGATGTCAACGTCAACCGACAACACTGCAAGAATTGGCCTTGACACTACAAGAGGAGTGGGTCAGATTGCCCCAAATTGTAATTGGACGGTTGATTAGGAGCGTGCCACGACGAATTGCTGAATGTCTGAGGATTGGTGGAGCAATTACTCATTTTTAAGACAAAAATCAAAAACGTCCATTTTCACTTTTGACGGTGTATCTCTTTGCGAGTGAAATTGGGCCGTCAGATAAGCCGCCCATATGAACAGTTTATGTTCATGTGTAGGCAATTGGCCTGTTATTAACGTACACTGGTTACCTCTAATAAAAACAGTTGTGCATTTCCGCAGTTTTGTATTGTTTCTGAATATCCCCTACTTTTTTTGAAGAGTATATTTTAATAATGTTATTTACATTCGGTGGACCATTATATAAATGATATATTTATAATAAAGTTATTTACATCTGAATTTTAATTGTTTGTTAAATACGCCCCTACGCATGGCTAGAGTTGAGCGATTGCAACGAAACTTGTTAAGATATCTAGTGAAGGCGTGCAAGGATTGGTTGTGCCCTGAGCTAGGACCTTGATTTGTATGCTGAGCTAAAACATCTATTTAAGGATGACATGTTTGTGTCATTTGACGTGATGGCTCTGGAGATTGTCAATCCAAAGGGGAATTCATTGCATATAAAATAATATGTTGCCTTTAATCGCTGTCCATTTACCATAAATATCGAACCCCAAGTCTGGGACTATCACCCGCTCACTTCTTTTTCCGCAGTTTAGTCCCAGAATCTGTTGTACGTTTAAGTTACTCGCATTTTCCACGTCCGCTCACTATCATATTTATCAGCATACACATTAAGCGCTCCCTAATGAAAAGAGGTCAGACAATCTCCGTGCAACCTTTGACGTCATTCGAGCAGACAGTTCTAAATCGGAAGACTGACAATTAGTGACACCCTCTCATTTTTGTCCTGTACGCGCTCCTTGGGTGGTTTTCAGGGAATCCAGTATTTTATTTGAAATAACAATCCAATCAATACTTTTGTGGGAATTTTGATATTTATCCTATTCATTTTATACCCCTTCGAATGGATGCCCATTCCACTCCCTGCTTGCCACTGGATTTCGAACTAGTTCCAGTTTACCACCCTTGGACATAATACATCAAATTTGGTATTGTACGCTTTGGAACCATGCTTATTGAAACCTGATTGGTTAGTGTTCACTGAGTTATTGCCCGTTGGCATTTTTCATCTGATTTAAGTGAATCGAAACACCCGAAACTACTTTTTAATTTAATTTAAACAATATTTTTTAATATATTCAGAATATCGGAATGGGATAGGAGAATATGCTTAGCCTATGTAAATTCCCTCTCTTTAAAAAAGAATTGAGAAAGTTAACGCCTACTGTCTGAGTCTTGGTAAATTTTAAACGGATTTCTTCGATTATGAACAAACTACTTAACTTTGGTTATTATAAACTTACCTGTGTGTTTGTAATGAACTCCCGTTCGATAAAATCCATTGCACAACTAATTATCACAACGATGAAAACAAGTTCTCTCTTGAAAAATTGAAATATCACAAACTTTTCCCAGAGAAAAATACCAATATGGAAGATGGTTACGTCACTCTGCGGAAGATATCATTTCGTATTAGGGGTGACAGAAATTCAAGTACAATTACGACAAGAATCCATGACCACTCGGACCAAAGACCACCCGGTTCAAGACCAGTCGGACCAACTGATAGACCACTCAGCCCAAACAAATAGACTACTCGGACCATACAAAAAGACTATTCGGACCCAACAGAAAGACGACTCGGACCAATAATAAAGTGTTGTTTTAATAAATTGATAATTGCGTTTGTTTTAATATGATTACTCGAACCAATAATAAAGTGTTATTTTAATAAATTGATAATTGTGTTTATTTTAATATGACTACTCGAACCAATAATAAAGTGTTATTTGAATAAATTGCTAATTGTGTGTGTTTTAATATGACTACTCGAACTAATAATAACGTGTTGTTTGAATAAATTGATAATTGTATTCCAAATCGCAAAATATCGAGAACCACACTTGTAGTCACGTTTAAAAAGGGGCATATAAACGTCCGGTCTTCGTATTATTATGTGCTGTTTATATTAACGCATCAAGGGCGGATAACTTGAAAACGTGTCTCCCCCCCCCCCCCATATATAGTAACCCAGGGGTTAGTGGGGTAGAACGGAATGAAACCACTGGGGATACCGCGAATGTGGAAAAAGTAAAATTAGGCTATCAGACAAGAACAGTATACCCGTATATGTAGAAACTGTCAAAAGTCTGGACATACCGAGTCTCATTGCAAGAGTAAAGAAAAATTAGATTGATATTTTTTTTTGGCACCATTATTAATTAATTTTAAAACTAATCGTTGATTTATTTTCCGTACACAAAATTGAACCAAAGAACTCTAAATATAATAATTCCGTATAAGAATTATTTGCCTCTTTGTATTGTGATTTAATAATAAATAAATAGCATATTGTCTAGCCTTATAATATAATTTAATTGGTCCGACTGGTCTTGTTTTGGTCCGACTGGTCTTAGTCCGAGTAGTCTTTGGTCCGAGTGGTCTGGATACCTACGACAATTGGCATTGAGTTTGAGCGTTCACACACATAACTACCCGCATTCCTGTATTTAGTTACCGTCTTTTACATTCTAGTAAAATCTCTGCAAATTTTATAGCTTTACTTTTTGAAATATTTTGTTCTAATTATTTTATTAGCGACTCGGATGGGATTATTTACTTTTGAACACGCATGCCACACAAACACAACTATACATTCGTTTTACGCGCTTTATCACACTTCGGTCAAAACTGTCGAATCGAGAATTAATGTTCCGCTTCTTACGGGGTCATACGGGCTTAGTAGCATTATATACCCACCCGGGCACCAAATAGACACGCTGGGGGCTGCCGCAACACACTTAAAGATGTTACTGAAGCGGTTATTATTCGATCGAAAGAATGCGTATAAAATTAAAAATACACTCAGAGAATTCGGAGGTAAGCTTCATGATCCTTGTTAAATTATTTATAATATAAAGAAGATAGGATATTTATAGTTTATACATGACTTTATTTTTACGAGTATCCGTGCAATCAGTGATATTTTAGTTGTGAAGAAAATTTGATAGACTGGCGATCAATGGTTTCCATATAAATCTCCTATGTAATTGCCTTCAATTGATATTTTTCGTCGCCCAAACCCATATACGATCAAAATGATCGCGCTGTCAAACTATCTTTCAATGTTAACCAACCCCCGCAACAGGTATATTGGATTCGACCAATACGTCACGAAGACATTGTTGACATCGACTCTGTCGAAATTACAAGTAAATTTTCAAATTTTTCAAGAGAGAACTTGTTCTCATCGTTGTGATAATTAGTTGTGCAATGGATTTTATCGAACGGGAGTTCATTACAAACACACAGGTAAGTTTATAATAACCAAAGTTAAGTAGTTTGTTCATAATCGAAGAAATCCGTTTAAAATTTACGATGGTTCACACAGTAGTTTTTTTTAAGTACGATCGGCATGAAACTTGGTATGGTTGTTCCTTTGACCTGCGTATGGCTCTATTCGATTTTTTTTAACTACCGTCACAATTCGATGATGGCGGCGATGAAGTTATGTTCGGTTCCCGGTGCCCTCCGTGTGAATTCATGAGTATGATAAATGAAGAGCAGTATTTGAATGATATAAATACACGTACCTTGATTAATGTGATAAATGTTTGTCATTTTTAGTGACAAAATTCAGAACTATGTATGTGTACACTCAACACAAACTAGGCCATATCGATAAAAAGTTCACCACAATTTTTAACCGATGTCAATATTTGCTTTCTAGTATTTCGGCGCTTTGTGTATTCCATAGCGCAGTGGTAGACTTTTAACCTAGACTACGCTGTCGGACGGGTTCAAAGGTTGAAATATCGGTTCAAAATGGAAAGTTGATTGACGATTGGGACTAATTCCCAGTCTATTAAAGAAAATCTCTAGCAAACTCGAAGGTAAGTATTCACATTATGTTGTCAATATGTGTGTGGAATATGTCATATTTTTTATTATATAGTTTCTGGCAGGTATTTTAAGATACACATAAATTTCTGCGCTTCGTTGCATAATGGTCTAATTTATTACGGAGAACTAAAGGGTTCAAAAATGTATTCAGTAAAAAAACCCAACAAACATAATATACTTAATATCCTTTCTGGAGAACAAATTTTAATAACTTTTACTCTTATTTGACAATATGCAAGATTTAAATTTAAATGGTAAATAGCTGAACTCGAATTTTGCAGATGGCTGAGTATCTAAGACCAGCATGTGCTATAATTCTACCAAATCTGGGTGGTTTTGCTGGGTTGTTCGTAACCCGCAGCAGTAACAGTCGGAATTGGTATCAGGTTAGTATTCTTGGATCATATTTGCTATAACTTTTTAGAATGCAGCTGGATAAATATTCCAAAACATGACGATAGTCACGTTTTCTGAACCAAACTGTGTGACCTTTGACATCGTGTCGTAAAACATGTAGACGTTTATTAACCCACATATTTGCACATTTAATTATTTCAGAATTTAAATAAACCATCATGGAGACCCTCAGGTGGGGTAATTGGTCCAATATGGACATACCTTTACTGCACTATGGGATATGCTTCCTATTTAGTTTGGCGGGATGGTGGAGGATTTGATGGCAGAGCAAGACTTCCTTTAGCGGTCTTTGGCGCCCAGCTGGCGTTAAACTGGGCATGGACCCCCATATTCTTCGGTGCCAAGAAATTGGATCTGGTATGTAATAAATGATTTCTGTTCTTGTTTGATAAGAATTTTGCTCTGTGACAAATTAATTACTGTAGCTATGCGGACATTGTTAAGTGGCATTAAACAGTAACCTTCTAAAACATTTGATAAAGTTTTCGTAGTTTTCCAAATGTTTCCGCAAGCTGCCATTTAGCCCCAGCAGAGTATGTAAGCCATCTGGTTGGCTGGAAAACAAAATCAAATATATTCAAATTTTAACCAATCATGTACTGCATCGGTCTTTATGTCGACTATTGAATGCTGGGTAGCGAGACTTGTGTGGAAAATGGGGGGTGGGATGGCATAGTGTCTAGATAATAAAAACAGAAAACTTGTCTGTGATATCACTCTCGCAGGAAGCGGGTGTTAAATACAATAGAAGAATGTCAGGGCTGAATCGAGAGGGGTGCAAACGTCACTCTTAAGAGCCACCAGGATTCACTGGACAGTTTTCCAGCTATACACAAGGCCATAATACTGCCCGACATATAGAATATTTAGAAATATATATATATACAGGTGAAATATAAATATTGATATCTTTTATTTTTCAGGCAACCATCGACATAGTAGCATTATGGGGCTCTATCGTGGCCACAATTGTCACTTTCAAACCAATTAATAAAACTGCCAGTTATCTTCTCCTACCCTATCTAGGTTGGATATCTGTGGTTAGCTGTATTAATTATTATATCTGGATGAACAATAAAAATAGACAGGATTGAATTATCGCTCATGTTTTAGTATTCACTCGACACAAACTAAGTCATTTCGGGATTTACATATAGTTTAATAATTCGGTTGCGCGTAGGGGTCTTTAGCAGTGGGAGAAAACCGGAGGACCCAGAGAAAACCCACGATGTTGGACAGGCGATCCTACACGTTATAACGTACAACACCGCGAGGAATCGAAATCCCGCCAGTTGACTCATTGACAGACCTTATGATACAGCGCGCACGTACTAACCATTCGGCCATCCAACCCCCCTTAGCTTATACAATGATTACATATTGTATATTTGCCATAAAAATACGGCGTATAGTAAGTTTTCTTGAAAATGATTTTTCAGCAAAGAAGGTATTTGGTTAAAAAATAGAATAATTCAGAACATGTTAAAAATTTTATTCGGGCAAAATTACATGTAATTAAAATAACTCTGGGTAATCTATCTATTAAAGGGACAAGGCTTTATTTAATTGGTTTTAAAATTGGCAATAGAAATGACCTTACAAATTTCAGTTGTTAATATATTCCAGAAAAACGGTGCTTGCATATAGCATGGCGACAAGAAGCCCCGATACACTGAGTAACGAACACGTATTAGTTAGTATACTATTAACATGGTTCCATATCCACTTTAAAATAATGAAATTGAATTGATTTGATTAACTTGGGATAATTTTCGTTTTGGAGTCAAAAATAAGAAATAATACATTTCTCAAACGTTTAGGTTTAGAAAATGTTGTGACAGTATTTTTGTACGCCAACATATTCATGTGTACGTAAATTTTCGTCGCCCATGTCAGTCCGGACATCTGTGTCCGTCACATTTTGTTTGTGGACGTTCTACAGGTCACAATTTTATCCGATTTTGACGAAACTTAAAATATAGGTTTATATCCCAAAGATCTCGGTTCGTTTTGATGATGACGCACGTGGAACTGTAACATACTGGATTATGGTCTCTTATTGTACGAAAATCGCTTTTATAGCTTGTTCTTTGTGAATCTCTTGCAAAATGTGGGCGGATCTTGCATGGCAAATATAGCTGCGTTCGACCATAAAATTGACCAATCGTTCTGCTCTACCCTACTCAATTGATCAATTGTGCCCCAATAACATATATCATAACGTATCCCGTATTTAACTGGGCTGAAGTGAATCATATATAGTTGCATCGGATGACTTCATATACTATTAGACAAAGAATATGTGAGTTCAGCATAAACTGATCAGCAGTACTTGAATAATGTACCTTGGTTACTGTCGTTTTAGTGACAAGAGGTCATGTAAATATAGAAATCTGTAATAGATGTACTACTTAGGTGTACTACATTTGAACTTTCAACCTCATGCACCATCATATGCGACGATTTTATTACGGGGAGGTGTTGTAGGGTGGGGCGGGCGGGTAATTTGAGCCTATTAATTAATACATCAAACCGAATAGATTAAGATGGGGCTTAACATCGAATCGGCACAAACTGGGTTTTTCGGGATTATAATGGTAGTAAACCATATGAGGTTAGGTAGCGACCATACACTTCTTTGACAATTTTTACGATTTTGCTTGTCAGTAAAGCAGTGGACACATTAGCCGAATCGATCGGCCGAATCAATCGGTGCCGAATTTTATTCGGCCGAATGGGTGGACACACTAGCCGAATGCTTTGCCCGATTCAACCTGTCGATTGCATCACCTTTCACGTCACATGATTAAACATGGCGGCGTCTATGTCTTCAATCTATCACGTGACTTCTCGATATGAGTGGTGATTGGCTAATGAATTCTATATTCGGCCGAATGCTTCGGCGAAGCGGACACACCAGGCGAATATAATTCGGCCGAATAATATATCAAACCTGTTTGATTCGGGCGAATGACAGTGGACACACTAGGCGAATTTCGACGCCGATTGATTCGGCCGAACGATTCGGCTAGTGTGTCCACCGCATAAGGTCATTTTTGCGATAAGGTCACATCAGCCCAAACTGTTGATTCACAATTTCCCCAACGGCACAAAAGTAAAAATTGACAAAATTCTCCGAGGAAGAAGTATATTATTTTTACTGTTTATAAAGGTTCCCATTTCTAAGCGATTTCAGAATACCTCTTCCTGAATTATAAACTTTTCGTTCACTTATTGTGCAAAATAAATACTAAGATTCCCGGTGTATTTATCTAGTCGGTCAATTCATGATCAGATTCGTACACGGGTTATCTAAATTAAAATGACAGTATTTATTTTTTTTTTAGTATTTTGGCGCCTTATGTTTTCCATAATATAGCGTTATTTTCTCGATCAACTAGATAATGTGTCCCACTCTGTTATAGACTTTTAACCGAGACTAAAACTTCCGACTAGTTCAAGGGTTAAAATATCTGCTCAAAACGTAGAACTCTGTTGGAGATTTGGAAATATTAAAAGAAAATCTGCAGCAAACTCGAAGGTAAGTATTCGTATTATGTTTTCGTTGTCCTGTGGAATATGTCATAGTTACTGACAGATAGTGTAAAATGGAAATAACAAGCAGGTTATAAGTTTTTTTCGTGATTCGTTGCATAACGGTCTGAAGTATTATTGAGAACTAAATATTTCAAAAATGCATATTTCAATAAGTAATTTTGGTTAATATATATTATGTAGAATACATAACGTTTACTCTCATTTGACAATACGTAAGATTTAATACTAGATGTTAAACATTTTAACACAAATTTTGCAGATGGCTGAATATCTACGACCAGCATTTGCAATAATTCTACCAAATCTTGGTGGTATAGCTGGTGGTGTCATAACACGTAAAAGCATCCCCAACTGGTATGAGGTTAGTATCTTTGGATAAAATTAAAATAAATAAATATAAACCGTTCTATAATGGATCTGAATAAACATCCCAAAACACGACAATAATCACGTTTTCGCGGAACTAAGCCTATTAACCGGTTACATTGTTATATAAAACATGGATAACTTTAATTTTCACTGGTAACATTCTTTTTCTGAGCTTTTTATATGCCCACATTTTCATGTGAATCCAAATAAAAATAAAGAGAGTAGAATCAAAAACCATTTTAATAACTTAACATAAAATTGATACAGTGACACCAGTAGTCAGGACTCAGGAGTGGTTAAAAACAAATGAAATGAAATGGGGTTTAACGTCCTACTGTTCTGCTCCTAACCTGGGCTAATGAAGATGGGCATACGCCATACAGTGTGCTATGAGGGAAATTTTGCCCGGGCAGCGGCACTATCGCCTACTCTTATATCGAATTCCAACTGCCAAGGGATCTTTTACGTGCATTCCAATGTATACACGGGACCTCGGTTTTTCGTCTCATCCGAATGACTAGACAGCTGTCCTTGTCAGGCCCTCTGTCCTGCATCATTGACAAGGGGAAACCACGGTTAAAAACAAAGTCATGGGTATTACAAATATAGATGCTATAAAAGATTGTTTTGGGATACCCTTGACTTTCTTTTTAAACACATTTTAATGGTATTTTGCGATCGCCCCCGTGCATCTGTTCACCATTTGTTTGTGGACGCTCTAGATGTCACAATTTTTATCTGATTTTGAGAGAACTTGAATTATAGGTTTATACCTCAAAGGTCACGATTCATTTCTATATTGGCACATATCAGACCGAAACTTCCTGGATTATTGCCCCTGATTGTACAAACAATCACATTTTTAGCTTGTGGATTCCCTAAAGGTCACAACTATTAGTATTATATGATTTTGATGAAACTTAAAATATATGTTTATATTCCTGTCGATATATTGGCACGTATCGTACCTGGATTATGGCCCCTGAACAAATAAATCACGTTTTTAGCTTGTGGACCATCTAAAGGTCACACTTTATTTAATTTAAATAAAAACCAGTTACATCTCAATTATGTTTGAATTTCATGAAAATCGGACCGATACTTCCCGTCAGAATTATGCCCCCAGCTTTTTACGCAAAATTTGAAATATGTACAATGTTTTTGGACCCTCCAGAGGCGATTTTGATGAAACTTCAAATGTATGTTAAGGATCATCAGTTCTTATGTGTGTTTTGGACAGACTTTCCATGCCAGAGTTATGCTCCTGCCTTTTACCCAAAATATATGCTCCTGCCTTTTACCCAAAATATGAATTAATTATGTATCAAGTTTGTGGAACCTTCTAGAGGCTGCTCTTTTTGACCAATTGAAATAGAACTCAATATATATGTTAAGAGTCTAAAGATCTTAGATGAGTTCTGTCCCTTACCTTTTACGCAAAATGTGAAATATGTACAAAGCTTGTAGACCCTCTAGAGGGCACAATTATTGTCCAAAGAATTTTACATTCCACCCCACATTCACACCCTCCCAGTCTCCCTTGGCTATGCACCTGCCACATAATTTCACTTGCATTATTTCAGCATTTAAATAGACCATCTTGGAGACCTCCAAATTGGGCGTTTGGTCCAGTGTGGACATATCTGTACAGCTCCATGGGATATGCTTCCTATTTAGTTTGGCGGGATGGTGGAGGATTTGATGGTGAAGCCAGACTTCCTTTAGCGGTCTTTGGTACTCAGCTGGCATTAAATTGGGCATGGACTCCCATATTCTTTGGTGCTAAGAAACTGGGTCTGGTATGTAATAACGAATTGTTTTAACTATACATATAATTGATGTGGTGTCTGTCAAGAAAAGTACGTATCTGATCTCCTGGTTGACATATTCCAGTGCTATTTCTGTTGTATTATAGATAATCTGCTTGTCACACAAGTACTTTGTAAATGTCTACTTTAATATGCTTTGGCAATATTCTAGGGGGCACTAGCTGTGAATTTTGTCTGTTATTCATCTGATCACAATTTCCAATGCATCAAATATTAGAAATATGTTGTGGATGATTATATATTGAACCCTATTTCTAAATTATTGTAATACAACTCAAAATTATCAAGGACAGCGGTTTCTAAAGTATATACATGTAATACGCCGTGTTGGCTATGTGGGAGGGATCTTTTTATGACCATTTCAACTCTTTAACCAAAGAAGAAATTTCGATAATGGATTGGAAATAATCGCATAGCAATAAAGGATTGTTTCATTAATGAATAATTATTATACTAAGATTTTAGAAATTTTTATGTACACCATGCTGACAAAGCGGAAACATGTGACACAATACCTTACCATAAATGAACAGTTTAAATTTTGACGCAATAATATATTGTAAATGTGCATTTTTTTTTCAGGCAACCATTGAAATAGGAGCATTATGGGGCACTATCCTGGCCACAATTATCACATTTAACCCCATCAATAAAACTGCCAGTTATCTTCTGATACCCTATCTTGGCTGGGTATCTCTGGCTAGTTGTTTAACTTATAGTATCTGGAAGAACAATAAAGATAGACGTGATTAAATTATCACTAATGTGGGAATATTCCCATATATTGATTGCATCTATTGTTTATTTACCATAAAAATACTCCAGTTATACTTGTAATGGAGTCGCTTGTTTAGAAAAAACATATTCTTAAAATTGTCAGAGCCGTGAATAAGGCTTTGGAAATTGTCAGTATTATTTTTCTCCTTCTCAGACATAATACAAATTATTTATATATATAAACTAGATAAGAACTTTTAAGTCCCTATGATGCACTATTATAGATGTCTATAACATTTTGGGGATTTCATTGTAGCACCATTATCTTTAGGTCCCCATGATGCACTATTATGGTGTCTATAAAATTTGGTCCTTCCATTGTAGCACCAGTATCTTTAAGTCCCTATCATGCACTATTATGGATGTCTATAAAATTTGAGTCCTTCCATTGTAGCACCATTATCTTTGGGTCCCCATGATGCACTATAGATGTCTATATACATGTAATTCATATTAAATGTCAGTGCTTCTTGGTCATGTACATTAATCTACTGTAAAAAATATGTTATAAATCAAATTCTAGGTATATGTATATGTAAAACTCTCTCCACAAATTGCACAATTTTTTTAAATCTCACATTTTCATGGTCATTTCAGGATTGTTAATTCATTTCCTTAATATATTAAATACCATGAACTGGTATCAATACTGTACATGTATCTGTTTTATTTTTATAGTTTGTTATCTTGGTATCATGTATCTATATAGACGTTCTTCCGTCAAACGATTTGTATTGTATAAGTGTAAAATTCAGCTGTTAGGGTATTTGGTACATAGCTATATAGATGAAATATTTATAATAAAGTTATTTACATATAAAAATACTTTCTTGGAGCTCAATTTTAATGTGAACATACATTGTTGTCACCCATGGCCTTCGTTTCCGTCGGCAATTGCTAGTGTAGTCAAGAGTTTTTGTCAGATTTTAATGAAACACGTTAAGTCCAACTAGTTTGATTTTCAAACATAGTAAAAATACATAAAAAAAACGCATTTTGATATGCCCCACATTGATATGCAGTCCTATATTGTCGTCACCTCACCCATCGGTACATTGTCTATACATAGGCGTACGGGGAAATTTTTGACTGGGGTGGTGGTTGGTGCCCAAAAAATGTAGTTAGGTTCTTAGTATGTTACATAATAATAATAAATTCGCTGTTAAATTGGACACATTCAAGAACACAATATTTTTTTTATACAACTTTTACAAAGTACAATTGTGTGCCCAAATTTTCCCAGCATTTGGTGCCCAAAATGGGGGGGCAGCCGCATCCCCAGCTCGTACGCCTATGTGTCTATACCATTATGGACATACAGTACATGTATTTCATCAGACAAGGTAGCCTAACGGTTTTCAACCTGTGGATGCTCATTTTTTCGTGAGATGAAGAAGCCGATAACTATCTTTCAGGATTTCTGCTCTTCATCACATTTCAAAATCTTGTGGGCCTCTTAGTGGTCAAATATATTATCCAGTCGATTTGAAATTTATACACGGTCAATGTTCGTGGCACACATCTTGAAATATACCATTCAATTTCATCATCTACATCACCAACCAACAAAAAGTTCACATTTACATGTTTCATAGAAATTAATATTAAGTATATTATAGTGTTTATAGGTTTAGAAATGAAATAAAATTGGGATTAACATCCTACTGTTCTGCTCTAACTGAGCTAATGAAGACAACCTATAGAGGGGTGCCCATAAATCAGTATATTCTTTATTACATAAAAAGGTTGCTTCCCTTGTACAATCTGTCTGACGTGTTAATGTATCTCACTCAACTAAACACATAATCAAGCTGAATGGTAGTTCCTGAACTATCTCAGCATCTGAATGGATTGGTTGTTCCTGAACTATCTGAATGGTTGCTTCAAATAATTCTCAAAACCTTTTGTCCCCCAGAAAACAATGAATTAGGGTTTAACCCCTTACTGTTAAATTCTACTCCGACTGGGATATTTAATTTTAATATTTATTTAAAGGCTCAATACCACTCTTGTTGTAACTGAATAATATGTCCCAATCTTTATTCTGGTCAACAAATTGTACTATTTTAGAATATTTCAATTAATTGATGATACAAATTTCATCTTAACACACCTTTTTTAAAAATTTTGAAAAATTCAACATACTGGTTTGAAAAATCTAACGTAAACCTTTTCAAATGAAACATCGATTTAAAAATATTTTCGAACCCTCTGGACAAGTAAAATAGGATGTAATGGATAATTTACACAGCAGGTAGGACACTTAAACATCTAGTACTTAGATAGAGATATTATTTATTTTCTGGAGCTTTCAAGCCAGCAAGAGTGTTATCATTAAAGTTATTGTCCCGTTAATGATAGAAATGTTATCGACAAAATGCCGAAATTGAAACATAAAGTGAATATTTTGTTTAAAATGTTGATTTTGTGCATGAAAATGTCGGCATAAAAATGTTAATGTAGAAACAATTCATGAGTTTAATTAAGATATTGTTTTCGTATAATATGTTGCAACTGTTGTGTAGAAACACAAATTATGCATATTGTCCCATTTCGTCTTCCATAGCGTCATCCCATTCGGTGATAGTAACGCCCAAGCAAATATTTACCGGTAGCCTCCTGCTTCTGATGAGTTTGATAAATTTGCACATTCTGTGACACACTGATCCGCAGTGAATATTTGCTTGGCCGCGACGCATGTAATTCTCTGTGCAACAGGCACAATACTGGATCTTCAATGAGTCACGTTCTATTTTTTCACTCGGCAACCCGGCATATCTCTGCAGATTTCACTCGGCCAACTTCGGTTACTCCTCTACACCAAACCATGTTTCCAAACAGAGTTATCTTTCCGTGACCCGCAAATTATATTTTTAACAATGAGTTGAATTCTATTTTTCACTCGGCAAACTTCGACAGATTCCGGAAAACCTCGGCAGAGCTATATATATAGAAACTATAATAAGCCAAAGAAATATATACTGACAGTATATATTTCAATGATATAACTCTACGACTTGTCACTTGATCCTTGATACATTTTCCAAACTGAGTTATCTTCTCGAGACAATAGGCCTATCGTATGATTTCCCTACCGATCGCCGCCATTTGGAACAACGACACTGCCGTCACTTGACGTAAGGTTTAGCTTCTACCTACTTTTACGAAATTTCTTGATTTCTTGATCATTTTAAATAAAAGCAATTAAGCGGTTATGGCTGAACTTTGTCTATTCGGTCATTATTTTATTCATCGTGTATCCCATAGGATTGGTAATAGACTACCACGTCATTTGGGGGGTGGGGGACGGATCCATCGTGTTTGGCGTAGCGGAGGGACGTCACTAAATTTAAGACAGGATGTAGGAAAGATTCCTGTTAGCGTTGATGTTGTTTTCGTTCAGACTGGGGGTAATGACATAGGTCTACACAATCAACAGGCTGTTCGCATTGTTAACGACATATAATTAACTTAGTTAATTTGATTCGTCAGCAATGCCCATGGGCTGTTATTGTTGTGGGCAATTTGTTTGCTCGCCTCAAACCTCGTGGTCTGAGTGATAAGCAGTACAACGAAGTTAAGAATTCGGTGAACAACCTGCTCCGCCACAGGTTGTCATTTTTATATCGAGTGCTTTTTGGGAATTCCAGTCGGAAGACGAGGTATAGGGCATTGCACTTCGATCGTTGGGGAGTTCACCTTAATGCTGCAGGCAATCGTCTTTTTGCCAATTCGATTCGTGCAGCATTTATAATGGCTCTTTCCCTATTCAACGAGTGAACTGTTCACTTATTATTATTAATTCTATCGTTGTCCATTTTCTTGGTGGGAGCATTATGGTTTAGTAATGCACCACAAATCTTAAAGTTAAACCTTAGTAAAGTGACTCAGGTGTTTGACATGTAAGTTTACATTTTTTTTTTAATGAATATTATAACTTGACCTTGTAAACAAATAAAGATATCATGTGATCTTTTCTGTATTAAATTTATATGCATTATTTAAATTTGTAAAATAAAGAAGAAGCCAGTTAAATTTCAATAATTTATATTAAACATACATTATGCAAGAGCAAAATCTGCCTATTGTATTCGTAGGTCTTTCTTTTAAACTTTAGGCCTTAAATGTTATAAAAACTATTAATTACTAAATTAGACATTAATTAACTTATCCAGACCATAATCTATTAATCAGCTCTCATGCAATGTCAAGGATAGCTTCTCTCTGTTCTACTGCGATGTCCATTTTCGTTCAAATTACTTTTTAACTACACTTTTTTTGTAAGTTAGGATGTGACTAGGCTAATGAAGATGGATGTTAGAATGGTTTTAAGTCATTTCAATACTTGTTTGGAAAATAAAATGTAGAAATGATTTAATTATTGTACTCATTGAAGTCATAGAAATGTAGGGTAGAATTTGAGCAAAGTTATGACTTGCATTGAAATTTCCCTGATTGCAGGTGATATTGACATTCGGGTTTGCGTTATACTCACACTCACATGTATGGAAAGGATATCTTGACATAATTACTTGCATTACATGTATTTAAAATGATTTTGAAGCTTTTCCAGTGACGTTTATTTATTAAATAATCACATGAGAACATTTAGAGTTGATTAAGCATTGACACTTTGGATAATTCTGGAATGGATTGATCAATTAAAAATAAGTTGAAGAGGTAGTAGTAAAAAGGATATACATTAACAATTTAAAGTCCCACTGTCAATATTTGAAAACAAAAATCTACATTCAAATCTTATCTGGAACAGTTCATTGTGTTACAAGCCATTTGTTCTTAATAGTTAAACTGTCACTACTACAACTTAAGGGGTATAAATAAAATGCTTGAAATGAAGTCGGACTAGGTAGATATCTAGGCCTAATTATAATGTAGACTTGTTTTCATATCGATTACCCGACGCCAAGACCACTTCTACTGTACTAGCACTAATTTCAATGTAGGCTACTTAGTTAGTAGTCTTACCCCAAAAGTTAGAAAAGACTTCGTCAGCAAAAAAAATTATTTACAATCGGTACATCTATGATTAAGATTTGATTTATGCAGTTTTAGTCAAATACTAGCCTACTATAAAGTAACAAACTTCATTTACATTACCCAGGTCAGAAAATCTCCTCAGAAAATAAAAGACAACTGTTTAGTGTTTGTAGCCCAATAAATATAAGAAGCTGACGCCGTTAAAAACAGTGTAAGCCTAAACATCAGAATATTGCGCCAAAAGCAAACCAGTTAAAAATATAATTTGCGGGTCACGGAAAGATAACTCTGTTTGGAAACATGGTTTGGTGTAGAGGAGTAACCGAAGTTGGCCGAGTGAAATCTGCAGAGATATGCCGGGTTGCCGAGTGAAAAATAGAACGTGACTCATTGAAGATCCAGTATTGTGCGTGAAACAGATTGATTCTGTGACTAGTGTTGAGAAAATCTTATTACAAGGGAGGTAACTCTTGATAAAGGAATATTGTGTCTGGATATTCGAAACCGTACAAGTGCCCGTTCGTCATTTCCTTTGTTTCCCAACATGGTCGAAGGAAAAGTAAATTTAACGGATGAATAGATTTGTTTTGAAGAAATTTAATTTGTGTGATTTTGTCATGGATTGATCCCAGGTATTAAATTACAGTTTATCAAGTAGTATTTCTGTCTGTGGTCGGTGCGATTTACTGATCTGGTTTTACTTAAAATCTCAGATCGTTTCCATCGTAAACAAACAGAACTGATCGTTGAATAGCTACGATTGTGTGCCTTTGACTTCAGTTCCAAGTGGCAAACTCAATTTCTTTATTAATGCATGTAACATCTTAAAATTAAATAATTTTATACTAGTATGACTAATTAAAATATACATTATGGGAGATTAGATAAAGAGCTAGTAGTTCTCACTATATAAATTTAAAAACTAGATAATGTAAAAAGGGAATTTACGGAAAATTTAAGTCAAATTGATCCACTCTGAACCAAGTATTTAGCGATTGAATTTTGGGCTTAGCCTCGATCATCATTAATAAAGTCGGTACAATTATCCATTTTTTGATTTAATCAAAAGCAGTAGACAAGGTTCTAATCCAGTAAATCTCGCAGACTAGGGATGCCATCGAGAGTTGATTATGGTCTGGATGAGTTAATTAAGGTCTAATTAATAACTTAGATAAGATTTCAGGCTTAAAGAAAGACCTGCAATTGGCAGATTTAGCTCTTGCATAATGTATGTTTAAACGTACAGAGGCCAATGTAGTGGCACAACTATCGCCTAACTACAAATATTCACGTTTGAATAAATGAAGTGTTGCTTTTATCTGACATACACTATTAGCCCATTCAGATGCTGTTTTTTTTAAGACAGCATCGTGTTGTGTTCACATGTACATAAGCCAAACCAGTTTAACTATTCTGACCTCTTCGGTCGGAGGTTAGAGTTAACTACGCATGGGTAGCTTCATATTTTTATTCGGTTCCCGCAGGCTTTCGATAACATTGGCACTGTCTGACCCCGATATTTTCACAGGAATGTAACTTACTGTGTACTGCGCATGCTCAAAGCAAGCTGTAGCTGGGGTTTTTAAGCCAACCCGTTCAGACGGCTAAGATGAACCAGTTTAAAATAAAAAGCCTTCTCGTAGACAGGTCGTGAGCTGGGTTTTTTAAACTGGTTTATTTGCCCCACATTTGCGTTCAGGCGCTTAAGTTAAACTAGTTTAACGATCCCCGGGGTTTTTAAACCAGTTCAACTTAAGCTTCTGGACGGGCTATATGATACACCGTCATACATCTCCCGTTTAAAAATGGCTTTCCTAGTAATGGCCAAACGCCTTGATCTTAAATACGATGATTTATACCTGTTTCAGGTCAGATTATATGCCTAATTGTAGTTGGATGTGGCAGAAATATTATAAATAACAATAATCTATCATTGTTTTGATGAAAAATATGGCCAATTTTGCTTACTGAGGCTCGATGTGAATTGCAGTAGGCTTTGCTACATGGAACTATATAGCACCATCTCTTATCTCAAAACACAGAGAGATGAGGTTTGTTATCTAAGCGTTGAAGTACTATACTACTGTCCCAACATCAACACAGACTATTGATTTGCCTTGGAAACAAAATTATCAGGAAATTGGCCAAAGGCATTTCAGGAGAGAGTATATAAATATTGTGAGATTATAAAATTGAATTTAATAAGAAGAGATGTTGTCACAGATAATTGTTCAAGGTTGAGTTGAACGTATCAATGACGTATAGATAGTAGTTAAGTCTTTAACTCAATATCATCTAAAGTCTTTGACATTAAAATCACGAATTATTTGTCATTTTAAATCAACATTGATGTTGTGATCTTTTCGGGAAAAGATGGGCTTCTGATATCCAATATTTAAGACAAAATAAACATTTTACCATTGGTACATCTACACGAATTGTGTACCAGAATACATTTCAGCGCCATTTGTAACGAGGCTAGACATATTCCACAAGTCTGTCAAACGGTGATGCCATATTCTTACCTGAAGAGCATGCACAATAAATACTTCCGGTGTAGACTGGAAGAACCAGAGGCTAGAGATTCCCATTTGATTCAGACTTTTGGCGTATTTTGCCAAACATAACATATTTGAAATTAGAGTAAAAACCGGAAAAGATATATACATTCATAATCATATGATATAATTATATTTAAAAAAAACACAGACAGAGGTGGCACATATTACAGTGCACAGCTTCACAGTCCAAAATATCTCAGCAATCTCTGGTAGGAAGTGGAAGTTTTATATTTGGAAGCCATTTAAACACCTAGTACATCCACCACTTGAAAATTAAGGAAAGTGTTTTTTCATCTCACCACCCAAATATAAAGAAAACAATGACTACAGATCTAGGGATTCCCTGATACTTACATGTACAATAGTAGTCTGAAGTTTTATTTTTTCCTTAGACATAGAGTAATAAGACTTTATGAAATATCCATACTTAGTAGTAATAAACCCTGTCCCAAATATCTATATACAAAAGCCAACAAAAATGATTATGTCCCAGAGTAGAGATCCAATGAATGTCCTTGACTCGAGTCATTCGTACAAGATAGAGGCCTGGCAAGGGACAACGTATAGTCATTCAGATGGGATGAAAAACCGAGGACCTGTGCACATAAAAGATCCCTTGTCAGTTGGAATAGTGATAGCACACTGTATGACAGTTGGCATATGCCTTCCTTTATTATCCCAGTCAGAGCAGAATAGTAGGATGTTAAACCCAATTTCATATTTGAAATAGGACAATTAAATTTTATTTCAATTGATAAAGCAGAAGTTTATTAATTTTAGTTTTAAAAGCAACACACAGTTGATTATTTCTCGATAAATGGTGGCTTTATCTATGGATGTAACATATTGTACATTGACAGATTGTCATTCCTCAAAACAAGTATATGTAAATTCATTAAATTTAATAAAATGGACAAATACTGTATATGGTGTATCCCTTTAAAGATTAACTCCGGATTGAGTGTTCCCTGTTAAATAGATTTCTGTAGTTAGAAGCTCAATTTTTTTTCAATAAACAGATACAGTTAATTCTTTGGATTTTTAGTTGTGTCAGATATATGTGAACATGTAAACTAAGAAGGCAAGTATACAAATAGTAATAGAATTACCATGTAGCTAATCTTTTGAACATAAGAATCAGTGAAGTGTATCAATTGAGGTAAAAATAAAAGTAAAAATAACACACCTTACATTGTTAAATCAAGCGACTACTTCTAATCACGTTCTATTATCTCTTTAGGCCCGTCTACTTATTATAACATGTTCATCCTTCCGTTAGTAAATAGTATATACGTCAATGTAACTGTTGATTTAGATGGAATACAGATTACAAGACATATACTCAAGGATATCTACGAACAAAATGATAAATTACAGGTTTTTATTTGAAAATTATATATATTTTTCTTTTAAATAACACCAGTTGTACTGTTGGATTAGTTGGAATACAGAAGACATATTCTCAAGGATATCTACTAACATACATGTAATGATAAAATACCGATTTTAAATTTTAAGCTTACATACATGTATTTGGCTACAGGTTACAAGAGACATTAAGAGTGATAATTGAATTTCTAATGAATATGGCCATCATAGTAAAGATTTCCATGGTTTGAGAATTGTATGCATATGTGTAGGATGGATCAAAGGTGTTTTATTTTACTTACGTCAAGACATTAATAATATGAGATTGCTATCATATCAACTGCTGTAGGATGTTTAGATTTTTTAATCTTGAATATCATTTACCGGTAAATCATAATACTTTAAAAATAGTTACACACAATTATTAACATTTCACCAAAGCTTTCAGTATAGGTTTCTTCCTCCTTGTGTATGCATATCAATTTACGAGGAACATCTAGGCTTACATGTAACATATGGCATATCAGTATGTTTGTCGCTTGCGTGTGACTTAAGGCTATACATATTCTTAGATCCACAGGTTGGTAAAGTGAACCATGTAGATTTCATTTATTGTCATATGATATTTATCCTTTAATTATTTCTAATAAACTTTTAGATCTAAGTTGATGTCTTGAACTTTTTGTTTCGTGATTTTTAAATATGGTTTAACTGAGGTGTGCAACTATCATTTTAATAACTCTTATATATTTGTATTGGACACTGCCTTGTTTACGGGGCGGGGTTAGTGGGGAGATGGGAGGGCGGCGGGGGGTGTGTGTGTGTTGAAATGTTGTTTCTTTGGGGGGGGGGTGAAATGTTGTTTCTTTGTCCGATATATCCACAATAAGGTGCTGGTTCACTAAGCAGTAGGTCACTCTCATGATCGCTTACAGTTTTGGCCGAGAAAGTTCCATGGGTTTTTCCAGCATTACAGAGGGCCTAGCAAAGAACAGCGTTTAGTTGTTCAGATAGGACGAAAAAATGAGTGCACTGTGTAAACTTTGGTGTGCATATAAAATATCCATTACAGTAGGAATTTAAAAAATTGTGTAGGCGGCCGTTGAATATATGGCGAGTTTGCAGGTCTTCATTAGCATTAAACTTTATTTCATTTGATATCCAGTTCTTTAAATGAATGTTTATGTTGAATACATGTAAATGATTTAAAAGTAATTTATTTTAATGTTTTTGTTTCAGTTTAAAGTACTATGGAGTATAGATGGAGTTGGAGGGCTTGTATATTATTATTAGTAGTGGCCTTATGTCAGGGCAATCATTATTTAAATCAGTTTGCTATACAGTGTGAAGATGGTAGAAATACGGCCGAGAGTATTGCTCGAGAACATGGATTTATTGTAGAAAGAGAGGTAAATATTTTATACAGTTGAATAAAGTGCATAGCAATCATTGTGTGTGTAATAAATCTCTATAATATAATGTAATATATTTGTTTATGTAATATTTCCTTGTGTTCTTGGAAACTACATGTACAACAGTTTGTCAGTAAGAGGTCTTGAGTGCATCCTGGAATTGGCCAAGAATGTTCTGCAAGATTTTCTAGCCAGGTCTCCGACATACTATACATTATGTATGCAATACTTCTTTCTAGTGTAATATGTAATATAATAATCTATTTATATCGCACAATATCCGTTACATATACATATAGCACCCAGATGATTCATATTTTAAACCAGTAAAGGATATATAAGTGTAAAAGGCAAAGATCCACTTTTTTGTCCAAATTTCCCAATTTTTTTACAAATAAATATGAAGGTGAACATAAAGCATCAAAAGTGTTTTTTATGATATCCGCAGAAAAATAAGATGTTAAAATGCATTATTCAAGAGCTAAATCTACCTATTGTTGGTCTTTCTTCTTTAGGCCTGAAATGTTATCTGAATTATTAATAAGACATTAATTAACTTAACAAGACCACAATCAACTCTTGATGCCATCGTTAGCCTGCGATATTTTGTGGATTTGAATACATATTGTGATGGATGATTTAACATATAAATGGATAATTGAGACTATTTATTATTGTGCCAAAGGGTAGTAATGAATTCCAAGGCTAGCCTAAAATTGAATCACTAATATCTCGGTTCAGATTGAAGCGATTTGACTGAAATTTTCAGCATATTCTGTTTTCATTATCTATTTTTTAACTATTATAGCGAGAATTGTCTGCTCTTTAGTTAATCTCCCATGATGTCCCTTTAATCCATTATATGATATCCAACATTATTTCTATATTTCAGTTGCCCAATATAGATGTATTTATACTGTCTCATCCACATGTTCATCACAGATCTAAAAGAAGTGCTCAAAATATTTTACAAAAATTACTCGACCATCCTCAGGTAGTTTAAATGATCTTTATATTCTATCCTTACTCAATAGTAATTGCAGGAGGACCGCACTACATGCAAAACAAAACTGGCGGACAAGACAAACTACATAGACATTGCAGACAAGACAAACTACATAGACATTGCAGACAAGACAAACTACATAGACATTGCAGACAAGACAAACCACACAGACATTGCAGACAAGACAAACTATATAGACATTGCAGACAAGACAAACTACATAGACATTGCAGACAAGACAAACCACATACACATTGCAGACAAGACAAACTACATAGACATTGCAGACAAGACAAACTACATGTACATAGACATTGCAGACAAATCAAACTACTTAGACATAGCAAGAAATAAACAACAAATATTAAATCAAGCGAATTAATGTTTTACTCATCTTGAAAACTTTCACTGCATTCAAAATTTGAGAAGTAGTTTTTGTCTTAAATTTGATGAATTTATATGTTTTAGGAAATTTTAATGTCATCTGTGTAGATATTTATAATACACTCTTGTTCGAATTAATTGCCGCACTCATGTTTTTCACTTATTTTTGGCTAATTTGAAATTTAACTGGCATGTGGCATATATTTCTCCAATTTTGCATGAAATCTAACTTGAACATGCACCATAAATTTTAAAACGTTATCCCTCTTTCATGCATTACATGACATTGCTCTTGTATACCAAATGCATCACCTATCACCACCACCTTAGATTTCTCTTTTGTCACTTGCCACTTACTTACAAAACGGAAGAAAAGCATTTATTATATCTGCAGGTTATTCATGCTCAACAAGAGATAGAATTCAAAAGTGTTAATGAATTAATTACATGGCATATAGTCTTTTGTACCAAATGAACCCTTTTTTGCCTATTACTTAAAAAAAAACAACAGAAGAGGCAAATTTGTTGTGTAACAATACAAGAATTTATTATATTTCTGGACCAGCAACTGGGCGCTAACCGCTACTCATCTTGTTCTTGTTCTTCTTCGGGTCACACTCTTCGAAAAAGCCTAAGGCTCTGTTAATTCAAGTCCAAATGACATGAAAATTGGCATGCTTGTTCTTTGAACAATTCAGCATTTATTTGATGAATTAGTATTTTGAATTTCACCCAACAACATGGTCAGTTCCTGGTCCATAGTACGATCGTACTTGCATTGAAGGTTCTCCATGCTCATAACAAGAGATGGAATTGAATTACATGGCATTAGTCTTGTGTACTAAATGAACCCTTGTTAGCATGAATATTTTATGTTGCCAAAAACACATATTAAATAACAATGAGAAATTTGTCTGGTGACTAAAATAATTTATTACTGACATATTTTTAAAGGTTCTCCATGCTCAACAAGAGATGGCATTACTCTCTTGAACCAAATGCAACCTCCTACTCTAAAAACAAAATTGAAAAACCAATGAGAAATTTGTCTGGTGACATTTCAAGAATTTATTATATTATTTGCAGGTTCTCCATGCTCAACAAGAGATAGAATTAATACGTGAAAAGAGAGGTATAATATATGATAAACAACTAGAATTACCTATACGTGAAATACATGATGATACAGTATATCATAGAATAGAATCACCACGGTTACAACTAAAAGATGTCATTCCTGGCAGTAGCATGCAACCAAGAGATCCCAAATTCCATGATCAGTGGTATATTGTAAGTCAATATTTATTATCATGTACTCGCAATGAACAGTACCCAGTTGTTAGGATAGAACAAAAAAAAAGAGGTCTTCTAAACATGTTGGTTTTGCTTTCTCAGTGGCGCAGGATGGGGGAAGGGGCTGGCAAGGAACTGTGTCTATTCGTTTCGATGTACGAATTATCAAGGTCTTGTGTACGTAAAAGATCTTTTGACAGTTGGAATTCAAAATGAGACTGAGTGGTTGGGTAGCTGAATGCTTTAAAGAGTGCACATCGGATCATAAGGTCTGTCATTAAGTCAAGTACCGTGGTTACGACTCCATGCGTTTACGTGATGAGTAGTATGGTTGCCTGTGTTTTCTCTGGTTTCCTCCCACTGCTATGAGCAAGCGAATTATTGAATTAATGTTGAACCGTATGTTAATCCACACCAGTTATCGAAAACTGCAAGTCAGAGGTGACCGGCCAACTAGAGCTCGAAGCATGACACTCTAGATCATTAGGCCATCCCAACCTGGCTCTGGCACTTTCTGACTGACTGAAGTTGGTTCTTTAACATCTGCTTCCACTAAAGTGATATCACAGACAAGATGTAGGAGGGCCGAAGCTTCTTCCTTTATATTTAGAAAATGATTTTGCAGCCTTAGGCCATGGAGTGGGTTTAGTGGGAAGTTCTTCCCTTTATTTAATAAAAAACATATTGTGTGGTAGTTGATCTAAAGAGACCACATTTATACGGACATATATGTGTCTCTTCTCTAGATTGGTAGATGTCATCTTTGTGGGTTTAATGTTTAGGTGCCAGGCCCATCTTATCATAACTTCCCCTTACTCCACTATCCTAGGGGGGTTGGATGGCCGAATGGTTAGCACGTGCGTGCGGTATCATAAGGTCTGTCATTGAGTCAACCGGCGTGGTTTCGAATCCCCGGTTGTACGTGACAAGGAGTAGGGTTGCTGTTCAACATCGTGGGTTTTCTCCGAGTCCTCCGGTTTCTTCCCACTGCTAAAGACCCCTACGCGCAAGCGAATTACATGTATAGAAATAAAATTGAACCACGTCTTAGTCCCGAAATGACCTAGTTTGTGTTGAGTGGACGTTAAACCCCATTTCTCTCTCTCACTCTACTATCCTACTTCTGCAGGTTTGATATTTTCGGTATTTCGTCAATAGAATTATTTATATACCAGACCGTTACTATGTCGTGGTCCACTGATTACAAGTTTTATTGAGCAGAAACAAAAAAAGTAAAACAAAAAATTAGTGCTAGCAAGAAATGTATTTTTTAAATTTAACCTGCAACCATTCTCATTTCTTTCAATTTTTACTGTGCTATTTAACACAATAAGGTATAGGTCGACCAACAACATTGTCGTTTCAGAAAAATGTTGGACAAAGTGGAGGAGTGAAGGATATAGACTTAAACGTTATTGTAGCTTGGGAAAATGGATATACAGGTACTGGTGTAGTAGTTAGTATACTGGACGATGGAGTTGATCATACCCATACAGATTTGAAAGATAATTATGTAAGTTGATTAATATTGCTTTGCTAATTGAGTACTCAAATACATTCCTGAATTTGATATATGGATAACCATGGGGTTGGATGCCGTCTTGGGTTCTAATGTAAAATCTCAGGACATGACTATTGGATAATAACACCCCTCTAAATGCGAAACAGGAAGTGGTTATCTCCTAATTGTAACATGCTATTTTAAGATTTTAAAAAAAATTACTAAAAAGAGGCGTGTTATTGTCCAATCGCCAGTGTCAATTGACCAAGCAAAATGCAAGATTCACCCTTAAGCATGTAACAATATTCCACAGTGTAACTTTTTTTCCTCAATATGTCTTCTGTTCTTCCTGACATCCTGCCCCTGTGACCCATACTTTTCTTCCTCACCTCACAACTAAATCAGAAAATATCCTTCCTCACACCAAAGTAGAAAAATATCCTTCCTCATTCATAGATGAATTTTTTTTTTTTTTTTATAAATTGCTGAAAATTTCCTTCCTCACAGCCAAATAATCGATTTTAAAAATCGTTCAAATGTATCATGGTTACACTGTAATGAAGGTTGAGTTTGAATTTCCTGAAAATCAGACTGATTCTGACCGATAAAATGGCAGCTCCCTGTTCGCAAATAGTGTAAAGTATGTAATACCAAGGTTGTGGACCCTCTATAAGTTAAAATTGTAATCTGATTTTGATGAGACTTAAAATGTATATTTACATCTCAGAGATCTCAATTTATTCGATATTGATGCATGTTGGACGGTAACATAATTGATTATGGCCCCTGATTGTATACCAAATTCGTGTTTTCGAATCCCCGGTTGTACGTGACAAGGAGTAGGGTCGCCTGTCCAACCTTGTGGGTTTTCTCCGGGTCCTCCGACTGCTAAAGACCCCTACGCGCAAGCAAATTATTGAAATAAAATTTAGCCATATGTTAAATGACCTAGTTTTGTGTTGAGTGGACGTTAAACCCCATTTATTTCTCTCTCTCTCTGTGTATACAAAATCACTTTTTTAGCTTGTTCTCTGTCCACATCTTGCAGCCGCTTGTTTTCAAAGAAATTGTTTTTTTTTATGTCATGTATCTTCTCTTCTTCACTCTGTACCTTTTTTCCTTGATATTTATTGGCACAAATGGAATAATATATACCCCTGTTGGATAAAGATTTATATTTAGTAGGAATATGAGAAGTTTCTAGGAAACTAAATCAATGTTTTACATTTCAGGATCCAAAAGCCAGCACAGATTTAAATGACAGAAACAGTGATCCTATGCCTAATGTTACTAACATTTACAATAGGTAAAATAGTTTTCTTAGCTCTATTTAGATTTATTTTATTGGTACAAATTATTAGGCCATTTTAAAAAAATATACGTTTCTCTGATACTCCTGTGTCACTTGAAAAGCCATGTTTTATTTTAAAAAATAAAAAGTCTTATTAATTACTGCATGTAAATATTCTGTACACAGAAATATACCGTAGGCACAATTCATCCATCATGTATTCATCCATCAGAATCGATACTGGATAATCATACATTCCCATGAAATAAGTGTAGTGCCTTGAAATGTGATGCTTGTGAGAAATCATTTAGCCCAATAGTCATCTTTTGACAAATGAAATATAAAAAAATCTATACCTCCCTCCTGCATAAGTTTTTTTTGAAAGATTGTCTGAAAAACAGAATATATTTTTTATTTGGAATTTAAGAAGAATCCGATCATTGGTTTTTACTCCGATTTGGGAAGAGATATGACAAGTTAGATATGCTCAAGGAAGTATTTTAAATACACCAAACCTTTATTTTAACTTTAAACGGAAATCTGTGTTAAAGGCAATATGCGTAAATGTCATGTTTCACAGGGGACCACATTGTGGCTATAGGGACCTTTTCATCTGTTTCTGCCACATGCTTAACTATATTTGAAATACAGATGTGACGTCACTCTTTGATGTTGGCGTACCATTATTTCAAATAATCGCACGGGCAACTTGCCAATCGTACATTATTTATACTAGCGAAATATTGGACTCGTGTGACGTATTTCACTGTAAAAGCATGTGCAGAGTGTCTGTATTTTAAGTCGTTTAATCGTCTCAAGCTTAAGACATTGCGTAATATATTGTAAAAACACATGGGCCTACGGCCTTCTTGTTGTTACAATATATTACTTAATGTCCGCTCTCGATCATTAAACAATACATAAATAACCTCTGTTTCAACTTGTGCTATCCAAGCTCTGCACAGAATTAAAAGGCTATGAATCCATGGCAGGAAGCAGGAATTGGTGTTTAAAACTGTTACATATATTATGTGTTTCCATGACAGTTGTCAACCATAGCTCATTTTGTAATGTTCAGTGAATTCTTTAGTTACTGACAATCGAATCATTGATAAATCGGCATCAAAAGTTAATATTCTTTTGTTCATTATTTAATGTGATTTAATTCCACTAATCTTCTAATGTTTTATCCTCTCTTTAGACATACACAAACAGGTAACTTGTATGATATGTGATTGTGGTTTTTGCATGTATTATAACATACATTTATTGTCAAGTATAGGTTGATTTATCCCATTCATTTGATAGTTACAATTTTTATTTTTATTTTATATTATTTTGATCTTGATTTATCCCCTTTATTCAAAAGTTGAAACATTTATATATATTTTTTTCGTTGTTGTGTAAGAGGGGAAAATATTTCTTTTTCTTTTTGTATATTTACCGTTTTTGTTTGCTGATTTCTGATTTGTTTTAAAGAATTGAAGTATTATATTATTTTACATAGGCTTAAAATTGTTTGCATTGTGGTGGGGATGATATATATTTAGCATTCTTAATGCATGCAAGCTTAGAAAATAATTTATATAGTTATCAAATTGTTTACATTGTGACGTGGATGACATATATCTGACGGGTTTTTTTTTGCATGCAAGCTTAGAAAATAAGCATATAATTGTATGTTGGTGTTCTGAAAGATATACTTCTGAATTTTGATAGAAAAAAACACAACTTCCTGGTATATAATAAATCATAACACAATATTTATGGATAAAACAGCTACTGATTTATTTAGGTGGCGTTTCGAAGAATATTCTCTCAACGTGGATTGTAGATTGATACAAACATTAACTTTCATACAAAAACATATATTTAATTATTACAAATTGAATTCATTTCTTGTTTGTAATCTGACTTGGTAATCTGACTGAATCGCATCCGTCAGTGAATTATATCTTCTGATTAATAATCAAATATCAAATAACCAGAATACATGTTAGTAAATGATTTCATTATCGTATCAAATAATTTGCATTGAACAGATGGTTGTGTGTAGTGAAAGTCCTTGTATTTGGTATTGTAGTCATAATACCAGATGTATATTTGGTATTGTAGTCATGGTACAAGATGTGTATTTTATATTGTAGTCATAGTACAAGATGTGTATTTGGTATTGTAGTCACAGTACAAGATATGTATTTGGTATTGTAGTCATAATACAAGATGTGTATTTTATATTGTAGTCATGGTACAAGATGTGTATTTTATATTGTAGTCATAGTACAAGATGTGTATTTTGTATTGTAGTCATGGTACAAGATGTGCTGGAGAAGTGGCAGCAGCTGCTGACAATGATATGTGTGGTGTAGGCATAGCTTATACATCAAAAATAGGGGGTAAGTGTTATGACAGTTTAAATGACATATAGCAATATGTTATAAGTTTTCCCATTGTTCTACACCAACTGGCATGGGCTAATCAAGAATACCATACAGTATGCTATGAGGGAATTTTGACAGGATGGTGGCTCTATGGCCTACTCTTATTTCGAATTCCAACTCTCCAAGGTTCTTTTACATGTACGCTAATGTGTACACAGGACTTCCAAATAACTGGATGCTGTGGTATGTTATAAACATCTTGATGTTGTTCTTCTTGGGAGCAACTCTCTTTAGAAAAAGCCTAAGGCTCCATCAATTCAAGAACAATTGACATGAAACCTAGCATGCTTGTTCCTTGGATGAGATCACAATTACAATTGCAGCGATAATGCCATGTTCCGTTCCTGGTCAATTAGTACTATTGTATTTGTTCAAATACGTTTTTAAAAGATACGTTCCCAGAAAAGTATTTATCGGGTGGTTATTTCCAATGAAATTATGGCAATTTTGGTATATATGGAAAGTAGAAATATCCAATCTTACTAGAAATATACTGGATTCCCTGAAAAACACTCATGGAGCGCATACCTTACAAAAATGTAAGCGTTTCCCTAATGGCAGCCCGACGATTAGGAATGTCTGCTCGCGTGACGTCAAAGATTGCATGCGGAGATTGAGCGCTTGATGTACATGTTGATAAACTTTATGAAGAGATAGACGTACAACACTTTCTGGGCAATGGATAATCCGAGAATTTAATTAGGCTTTTATATTTATGATAAATGGATAGCGATTAAAAACAACATCGTCTTGTGTATGCAATGAATTCTCCCGCGACTTCACACCCTTTGCTAGGTAGTCGTCACCTAAGTCACGTGAAACAAACATGACCTCTTTTAATAGATTTTTTATAGCAGTGTTTTAAGAAGGATTGAAGCAAAATTTTGATAGATTAATTAGTTTGAATATGTTTTTTAGTCTAAATGCATCATCAAATCACCCAGTTTGTAAACGGGAATGTATCTTTTATGTTAAATTTATATTATTAGGTGTGAGAATATTAGATGGTAAAGTAACGGATAGTCTGGAAGCTGAAGCTCTTACATTTAATATGAATTATATAGACATCTATAGTGCATCATGGGGACCTAAAGATAATGGTGCTACAATGGAAGGTCCAAAATTTTACGGTGCAGCAGCTTTACGTAAAGGTGTTACACAGGTAATATATATAATTTTGTATAATGGTCTGAGGAGAAAAATAATACTGACATTTCAGTGGGTTGGGGTCAAAATTTAAAAATGCATTATTTATGAGCTAAATCTGCCTGTTGCAAGTCTTTCTTTTGGCCTTAAATGTTATATAAATTATTAATTATTAATTAGACAGTTATTCACATGATAAGCCTATAGTCAACTAGGGGGGTTGGATGGCTGAATGGTTAGCGTGTGCGCGCTGTATCATAAAGTCTGCAGGGTTCCCGCGGTCCTTGAAAATCCTTGAATATCCTTAAATTTAAAATTTCATTTTCAAGGTCTTGAATATCCTTGAATTTCGCGGAAATAGGAAAATATCCTTGAATTTCAGTTGAGATCCTTAATTTTGTTTCAAATGTCTTCAATTCCTTTTAAATATGAGATTATAACGATAGTTGGTAATGTTTCGGTTATTTTTAAGATAATAAATTGTAACTTTAGGCTAAAAAATGTCCTTGAAAATCCTTGAATTTTACGTATATTTATCCTTGAATATTCCTGAAAAAATGTTTGACGAAGCCGCGGGAACCCTGGTCTGTCATTGAGTCTACTGGCATGGTTTCGAATCCCTGGTTGTACGTGACAAGGAGTAGGGTCGCCTGTCCAACCTTGTGGGTTTTCTCCGGGTCCTCCGGTTTCCTCCCACTGCTAAAGACCCCTACGCGCAAGTGAATTATTGAAATAAAATTAAACCATATGTTAGTCCCGAAATGACCTAGTTTGTGTCGAGTGGATGTTAAACCCCATTTCTCTCTCTCTCTCTCTATAGTCAACTATCTAGACTGTCAGGTAATTTTAATGAAGAGTGCGAGAGAGAGAAATGTCCATTTCACACAAACTAGGTCATCTCTGGACTAGCCGATTATAGTACAATTTAATTTCTATTATTCTCTTTCGTGTAGAGATAATTAGCAGTGGGCAGGCAACCCTACACCTTGTCATATATAAAATTGGGATCAAATCTCCACGCAATAACAGATCTTATGATTTAAAGTGCATGTTAACCACTAGATCACACAAAGACCCCAACCAGCCACCTCCAACCACAATCTTAACAAGCAAAAAAATAGTCTTGTTTCTCCAGTAGTGTTTCTCAAGTAGTGTATTACTTTTTTTTTAGAACATTGTAAAACTATAATATTTTTTAGAACATTGTAAAATTATATTATTTTTTAAAATGTTGTAAAATTATATTATTTTCTAAAATGTTGTAAAATTATATTATTTTCTAAAATGTTGTAAATGTTATTTTAGGGTCGTAAAGGATTGGGTAATATATATGTGTGGGCTACAGGTAATGGCGGTGCTATGGGTGATGATTGTAGTGCTGATGGTTATGTATCAAGTATAGAAACATTATCAGTTGGATCTATCACAGATAAAGGAAGACGACCATATTTTATGGAGAATTGTACTTCAACAATAGCAGTGGTACCGAGTGGTGGGGAAGAGGTTCCGGGTGAAGAAAGAAGACATAATATAACTAAATTGAAAGTTGTAAGTAACAAGTTCTGTTCACTGTTAATTTCAATCAAAGATAGGTGAGATTAAAGCATACCTTAGCTGTTTCACCATGATTTATCATAAGGCCATATAAAATAAGTATTTTGGTTCTCCGATAATCGGGGGGTTGGATGGCCGAATGGTTAGCATGTGCGTGCTGTATCATACGGCCTGTCATTGAGTCAACTGCCGTGGTTTCGAATCCCCGGTTGTATGTGACAAGGAGTAGGGTCGCCTGTCCAACCTCGTGAGTTTTCTCTGGGTCCTCCGGTTTCCTCCCACTGCTAAAGACCCCTACACGCAATCGAATTATTGAAATAAAATTAAACCATATGTTGGTCCCGAAATGACCTAGTTTGTGTCGAGTGGGCGTTAAACCCCATTTCTCTCTCTCTCCGATAATCCCATGACACTTAAAAAGGACTGCAATGACCCGTTTTACTTTTTAAAAAATCAAAATAAAAACAATCTCATTAATTAATTACCACATGTAACTATTTTATCCTGGTTTCAGGAAGTAACTCTTTAAAACGCCTTGGAAGAATCCAGAAATCTGGTGTGGGCTCATTTATCAAGTATGCAACCCTGATAAATGTTGCTGACAATCATAAATGATACTGGATTATCATAATTTCTTGTAGTAAACATCATAATAAGATAAATGTCGCTCTTTGAAATGTGATTTAGCCCAGTATGGTCCTGAGTACCTTTCTTGGCCAACACTGTTATCGATCCTAATATGTCCACTGATCCGTCTCCACTCTATCATAAAATATACTGGGCTAAATCACATTATATATATATATATATTTAACTATAGGTAACAACAGATATAAATAATGGTTGCATCGAGAATTTCCAAGGAACATCAAGTGCTGCACCATTAGCTGCTGGTTGTGTTGCTCTACTTCTACAGGCTAAGTAAGTTGATTAGGATTTTTTATTTCCATTTAAAGTCCTGATGCGCCATTTGCATTATTTGCTAAAATATCAAATTTCTCATGACTTAATGCATGCTTTTATGTACTCAGATTGATTATTTACTATTTAATTATGAAAACAAAATCAAAAAACCAACCCGAGATATATTTCCCTCTCTGTGGAGAACAAAATACCGAGCAGCATACATCAATAAAATTTCAATTCCACTTAATCTTTGTAAATTCTGAACAGAATTGAACATTTTTGGTTTTTTTGTTAGGACTGATATTCCTTTAGTGCTAAAATCATGCATCAGGACTTTAATATAGATTATCGTTGAACTAACTAATTAAAAAATGTACAAGTTGTCTGACTATGACTTCTTAGATAAATGAGTTATCAAATATATGAACAATTAAATTTTTTTTTAATGGAAAACTGGAAATCAACATTTTTAAATTTTGGTCTGTTCTGTGCATAGTTTATTAATGGTTATGAGAAAGGGAGAGAGAGAGAGATAGTGAAAGATTGTAATGAAAGAAAGGTTATTTTGAGACTTGCATGTAGGGACCTGTCGTGGTGGGAGGACGCGGACAGACGACCCTACTCTCTGAACGTGCAAGCGGGGAATTGAAATCATTCTCAGACTTTATGATCGAAAGTGCATGCTTAAAACCATCTGACCCCCCAAACCCGTTGGTTGCTAAAGAATGCAAGACACACACAAAAATAGCATCATGAGTATCATTTGTTTTACAATTTCAGCCCTAATTTGACCTGGCGTGATGTTCAACATATAGTTATACAGACGGCTAGAATTCCCAGTATTGATGATAGCTGGATTATTAATGGTGCAGGGCTTCATGTCAGTCATAAATTTGGTTATGGAGTAATGGATTGTGGTAAAATGGTTCAACTTGCACAAACATGGAATAATGTTCCTGAACAACATACATGCTCATATAATAAAACCAATGTAAATCTGTAAGTTTGTATTTGTTAACATTGTACAAAATGTATAGGCCTTAAGTACTTTAATTTACATTTTAGTATATTTGGGTTTTGTTTGTTTGGCTTCTTTTTCGTTTTGGACAGAACTTTCTATGTGTTTTATGCCAGTTAATGGGAATTTCTTTTAAAGATACATTCCCACATACAAACTGTATAATTTGATGATATTTGGACTAATTTGCTTCAAATCCTTCTCAAAATTTTATAATCACAGGGAGCTACCCTAAACTATAAAAAAAATCTATTTTTAGAAGCCATGTTTGTCACCTACATTGATTGAGGGCGGGTCCATTTTCCAAAATGTACTTGTCATTACTTGCGGTGCATTTACCATACATATTGAGGCTTAAGTAAATTCTTGAATTATTTTCTGCCAACTTGTTTTTCTGTCGTTTACACCCCTCAATTTTCACAAAATTGCCTAACCATTCGATCAAGAAAAAACAACTGATCCATAAGTCAAGCTGGCAGACAACACTTGGATTGCCAGTTAATGATACCCAGACATTTTTGTCCAGTGCTTGCCCCATGGGTGTTTTTCGGGTAATCCAGTATTTTCTAGTAAGATTGTGCGTCTATACTTTCCATATATACCAAATATGCCATACTTTTATTGGAAATAACCACCAGATAAATACTTTCTTGGAAATGTATGTTTAAACATAACATCTTTTCAAGTTTAACCCCATGTAATTCATTCATTGTGAACCATGTTGACATATTCCTACTGAAACCTGCCTTACATATTGAGTGATGTCCTTCCTACTGATAAAAACTACACATCTTTGTTTGTAGGAAGATTGGAAGTCGAAGACATATTGAAAGTGATATTTTTGTGGATGGTTGTAAAGATGATTCAAGTCGACGTATTGACAGACTGGAACACGTACAGATCCATGTCAAGTTAAATCATAATCGTAGAGGAGATATACAAATCTTTCTGACTTCTCCTGCTGGTACGAAATCCGAGATGCTGTCTCCACGTTCCAGAGATGACTTTAAAGGGGAATTTAGTTTCACCTTTATGTCTGTTCACACTTGGGGTGAATTTCCGTCAGGATTGTGGAAGCTGGAAATTTATGATAATCCCGGAAATTCTGGTCGAGATACAAATCAAGGTTGGCTTTCAGAATGGTCGTTGATATTATATGGTACATCGGGCAAGAGGGTTGACAGAATGTTGTCGTATCTCTCCAGAGAACAACGCGCCATCACACCTGACATCGATCAAGTTACAAAAATAATGGACGAAGAACATGTCAGATCTAAAAGAGTATCAATCAAGCGTAACTTCACGCCTAGTAAAGTTGAGAATAAAAAACGAAAATACTCGAGTGAAACAGACCTTATCGCTAATGAACTCCTGAAAGCATTACTAGGTTCATCAAATACAAAGAGAGGTAACTCTATTTACACTGACACCAAATCAAATCATAAGAAAATGAATGAAATCAAAAATGAGGAAGAAAGATTTGATGCAAGAAGTTTGAGTAGTAATTCTCAAAAAGAAAAGAAAAACTTGAAATCTGAGAAATCAGACACTCAATTGTTAATAGATATACTAACGAAATTAACCGAGACATAAATGCAATCAAACATGACAGCATATATTTATTTATATACATCGTCCAAATTTAATATATTTTATATAAGAATGTCATACCTTTTTTGACTTCATTATTTGAGGTATACAAAAATTACTGAAAAAAATTATTTTATTATTAACGTTTCTTTAAAGTACGTATAGCTCTTCATTTGAAACCTTAAAATATAGAAAAGTACACATTAATGTAATATGAGTGTATAGAAATATACATTCGGTGAAATACGTGAGCAGTCCAAATTGAATGGCAGTCGTTTGCATCTGGTTAGTCCAATTTACACAGTCATCTTTTTTTGGATCAGCCATTTTAATTATTTCTGAGTTGATTTGTGGGACATGTTTTGCTTTGTTCATTAGAAATGGCTCTGACGGCCATGTCTGGAAATGATTCTTCAATTTTTTGACTTCATTATTTGAGGTATACAAAAATTACTGAAAAAAATTATTTTATTATTAACGTTTCTTTAAAGTATGTATAGCTCTTCATTTGAAACCTTAAAATATAGAAAAGTACACATTAATGTAATATGAGTGTACAGAAATATACATTCGGTGAAATACGTGAGCAGACCAAATTGAATGGCAGTCGTTTGCATCTGGTTAGTCCAATTTACACAGTCATCTTTTTTTGGATCAGCCATTTTAATTATTTCTGAGTTGATTTGTGGGACGTTTTGCTTTGTTCATTAGAAATGGCTCTGACGGCCATGTCTGGAAATGATTCTTAAATGTTCATTGTGTATTAAATATCGGATATCAAGAGCCCATACTTTCACAGTAAGATAACAATATATCAATATTGATTGAAATTGACCAATCAAGTTAGAGCTATATGCCCTTTAAAGGTCAATGTCTGTCTATGTTATATAGACTATTTTAGCCAGGAAAATTGTTCAGATGGTCAGGTAAAAGAGTTTCTTTACTTGAAAAAAAAAATAAAAAATTTCCCTCACATAACTATGGCCACATTTATTTAAACGTTTGGACTACAGGAACACCAATTAATATTTTGTGTCCAATTTCTGAGGGAAAAAATAATGATTTAAAACCCAAATTACTTGGTTGCTCTTCTCAAAAACTTTTAGTTCCACATTTTTATTTTTTGAAATTCAAAATAATACATTTTTCATGGACTCAAGTGGATATTTATTGGTCAATACCAAGAAGAACTAAATATTGTATTGGTTTGGTCTAATGTTATTGTAATGCCTATTCCATCTTTATTTTGAATTCCATTTTTACAAATTCATTTTTATTTTTTTTAAATTTTATTTCTGATACCTAATGAAAGTATCTCTTTATAAGACATAGGAAAACAAAATAATAATATTGCATTTTCCCAACAAATAACTAATGCTTATGTAAGTATTCTTACTGCCTACCGGTATTCCATATATATTGTGAATTCCCTTTTTTATAACTTATTTTTCTTTTTAAATTTTATATGTCATAACTGATGAAAATGTATTTATCTCTCTGTAAGTATTATATGTCAATCGCCCAAATCCTTGTTAAATCACATAAAACTACTTTAAATGGTCAACATTAGTATGTGATGTTAGTTTAATATTAATTATACATTTGAAAAAATTTGAGTAGAGATCTATTTATGGAGTCTTTATGAGATTCAGTGATTATTTGATTTAAAGGCTTGATGCGTCATTTGCATTTCTGCTAAAATGATATGTAATCAAAATAGCATATTAACAAATGTCAGTTGTGTCACATGTTGGTAGAAATAGAAGTGAATGAAATTATTATTGAATTTGTCTACTGCTTAAAAATTCTAGCAGTTTGTTCTCTCCTAATTGTTTTTTAAATTCTGTATTAACGAGAAGCTTTTTCCAATATATTTTTTTCACATTATGTTGTCATATATTAAAGAAATGTTATTTAATATTTATTATAACCCAAAATTGTTACTTGCTCTTTTTCAAATTCTGTATTTTGCATTTTCCAATATACTTTTCTTACAAAGTTATATTGTAGAAATGTTATGTGATATGAAAACCACTCCCGTATTATAACCCAAAACAACATACTTTCAAGATGTTACTAAACGAGAATTTCAATGATATATTTATCATTGTCCATTATATTTTTTTTTACACATTGTGTTAGAAATGTTGTTTGGTATGGAAACAACTATTATAACCCCAAGGTTCAAACTGCATACCTTATAGATCGGGGGTAGTCAACCGATTACATCCCTTACGTCAATTCAGATGTGCTGTACAACTCTTGTATAGTTATAACTTGTATGTTTATAGACATAATTAGCATTTTTATATGATAAAATTATTAAATATAAAAACAATATTTAGTAAAGCAGATAAACATTTAATGAGCCTTTTGAGTCTGTTTTGGATAATAAAATTACTAATATTAATGAGTAGGCTTACTGCCTTACTTTATGATTATCACAATGATGCAATGTTACTCTTTTTATTGAGAATTCCAATAATATATTTATTATGTTACCATGCATATCAATTTTAACCCTATATGAATTTTTTTCTGTTATATTTCTACCATATCAATGTTTTAACATTCCATATTAACTGTTATCTATTATATTTCTACCATATTAATGTTAATTTCATATGTTATATTTCTACTTTTTTTTCTTAACCACTTTGATATTTTGGGTATATTTGTTTAATAACTTATAATAATAATAAAATGGATGTCTTATTGATTCTTGAAGTTGATTTGTCAAACTTTTTCAACTGTGAGGACCTTTGTCTGCAGCTCCTATTCCACCACCAAGTCCTGAAGTCTTGGCACAGATTCAGTGTTTTGAGTCACTAAATCATTGGGTCCTGGGTTCAATCCAAGTGTTGGTTGAGAAAGTTTATCCAGGATTTTTCCGTGTGGTTTCACCAGGTCAGTGATACAGGAAGGAGGGCTTGGCAAGGAACGTTGCCTACCTTCTCGAAAGGAATGAGAAAATGAGTTTCTGTTTACACGTTGCATGTAAAAAGCCCTTGACAGTTGAAATTCGAAATAAGAGTAAATTGCAGCACAGCCTAATTAAAACACAGATCTCATTTGGTTTCATTTTTTATAGTTCAAAATTTCGTCTTGTCTTTACTACACTAGGATCTGGAAGAGATGTTATATAAATGGTGTTCTGGTTGATGTGAGGGATTAGCCAATGAAACGCTTTGTAGCAGCGAGTTCTTGGCGTGCGATGCATGGAATTGTGGGTATCCTACTAGAAACAATGCTGATTGGTGAATTAACTGACGTCATACGATCAAAAGCTGCATGTATGACCCCTGACATGACCTCCCACTACAACTGGTCAGATCTTCATGTAGTAGAGGCCATCGATATATATATATATATAAAAAGAAACATAGATCTTCGTTTTAATCAGATTGGCTGCATCATAGAAATGAAATGAAATGAAATGGGGTTTAACGTCCTACTGTTCTGCTCCTATACTGGGCTGCTCCTATGAGGGAAATTTTGCCCGGGCAGCGGCACTATCGCCTACTCTTATATCGAATTCCAACTGCCAAGGGATCTTTTACGTGCATTCCAGTGTTTACACGGGACCTCGGTTTTTCGTCTCATCCGAAGGACTAGACAGCTGTCCTTGTCAGGCCCTCCATCCTGCATCACTGACAAGGGGAAACCACGTCGGAAAATCGGGATGAACTTTCTCTGCCAATGCAGGGATCGAACGCCCGACCTCCAGGCTAGCGAGCCAGCGCCTTACCCACCTAGCCACCGTGGCTCCCAGCTGCATCATAGGATTTAAATTTCAATTCCAAAAGATATAACCAAATGAATCTTACGAGTATCAAAATCCCTTTATAATTTGACTGATGGAACTAAAATGGTAGTTAAGTATGTCACCTAAATATTTATCCAGATTAAATATCCAAATGAATCTTACAAGTATTTAAATCGCTTTATAATTTGGATGATGGAACAAAAATGGTGGTTAAATATATCACCTAAATAAAAGTACCGGTATTGTTTGTCTTCAAGCCTAAACCAGATTGAAAACCCAAATGAATTTTCTAGATACAAGGATTTTATTCAATAGTCCCTTGGTATTGTTTCTTTTTGATGTCAGAATGGGTGCAAACCCAGAATTTTGCCAGAATAGTGTTTGAATCTACTCTTCTTCCCATGCTAATGGCCAAGTCTATTTTGGTGTGGTAGAAGGGGTTGGCAGTGATGCCAAAACACCAAGGCCGGTGCTATGAATTCAGGACTTATGGGGTGGAGAGGGAGCTGATAAAGGTCATCATTTCTTCTATCTTATTATAACACAGGGATACACATCCTTTTTAAAATTACTACATTAATTATTTATTTCAATAATACTACATCAAACATAAAATGGCAGCAGCTCAATGTGACACATTCAGATATGATTATTAAACGATAAACATACGTATGGAAAACAGCTACTGATTTATTTAGGTGACGTTTCGAAGAGTATTCTCTCAACGTTTTCAAGCTAATGAAATGATTAGTTCCAACACTAAAGGATTTGTGATGACCCGTTTTTAGCCAATTTGTTTCCATGTGGATCACTATGTTTCCCATGCTGACCAACATCCTATTCTTTATGCCTTTCGATTTTACAATATTTTCAAATAAGTACTGTTTTACAAGTTTTACAATATTCAAATTATCATGAAGATATTTTATTGTCAATTTTTTTCACAATATTCAATAAATAACAAGTTGATATATATTATGGAAGGAACACAACTTCCCAATCTTGTACTGGTGTACGACAAGTAGGACATGTAGAATTATTAAAATGTGGAGCACAAGCTACACAACAACAAACATGTTTACATGGTCGTAATAAAACATTTCTTTCATTAGACAAACAAAATAAACATGTCACATTTTCTTGGTCAGGATTTTGTCTCACTGAAATAAACAAAACAAAACATAAGTTTTAATAATCAATGAAATGAAATAGGGTTTAAAGTCTCGCTTATCTGCACCAACTGGGCTGATGAAGACCGGAATAATGAACGAGATTCGAGAAAAATAAGATATCTGTTTGAAAATAAAATGGAATGGGGTTTAACATCCAAGTTTCTGTATTGATTACGGGCATATTCGTCATTGGTTTTTTTGTCCCTTGAAACCATGTGACAACAGGGGAGTAGAGGTGACAAAGATCTGGATTTCTCAGAATCAAGAATTCTTAAAATGAAAAAATATAAAAGAAACAGAATATAAAGAGTAGAAATCGGGTTGGATGACACCAAAGATCCCGGGGAATTCCACTTAATTCCAAATTCCATATTATAATTTCAATTTACCGTTAGATTTTAATCTGGATAGTTCAGTAGCTTGGGTAGACAACTCTATTTCATATTTTCGTAATTCTGCCTCTAATTGGGCTGTCTGTGTTTGTAGTTCTGTGTGTTCTGTTTGTTGTATCTGTAGTTGTTGTTGTAAATTTAGTTGTCTGCCTTCAGCTGTCTGTAGTTGTTGTTGCAAATTTAATTGCCTGGATGTATGTCTGTCTTCAGCTGTCTGTAGTTGGTGTTGTAAGTTATCTACAGTAGTCTGTAGTTGATGAGACAAGTCATCCTTTTCTCTGAGTTCTTGTCTCAATTGAAGTCTGGTACAATGAAGTTGTTGAATATAATTAAGGTGTAGTAGTTGATCTTTTCGATTTAGTTGTTGAATATGTTGATCATAAAGTAGCCTTTGATCCTCTAGTTCTTCAACCAGTTCCTCATTTTTACCATCCACCATCAGATCACATTCCTGGTTAAGAGAAGCTACTGTAGTCTTGAAGTGCTGGTCTTTATTAATCATCACACATTGTATATTGTTCTCTCGTCTGTCCTTAGTCTGTATGTTTTCATCCTGTAGACCTATGATGTCAATATGTTTCTTTAATTCACCATCAGCCAATACAGCAGCTTTTAACATGTCGACACCTGGATATCTTCCACCTACAACAAAAAAAAATTAATATTAAATAAACTGAATGAAATAAACTTTCTAATACAGTTTGGTATGAAACCACAAATTCAAATTTTCAAAAAATACCAGTTTTATTATTATGGATAATTTAATTTGTGCAAAGGCATTATTGTCAGCTTTAGATAGTGGTGAGGATAAAATGATCAAAATGTTCTTGAGGACAATAAAATGATCAACCAAATTAAGAAATGTTTTATTTAATAAAGTTATTACTGTACAGGTATATTTAAAGATACATTAGGTAAGATTTAGATAAAGAGCTGACCATTCTTGTATAATAGCACAAATACAGATAATATAAAATGAAAATATTGTAAATTTCATTCAAATTACTTTATTCTGAGCCAAGTTATCACTATTTGTAGTTTTGACAAGATGTGTGCATTGTGGTAACTGGTATATTCGAGACTTAGCCTAGCCTTCCCATTTTTAAATTAAATTTAAATTAAATTCTGTGTATTCAAGAAAAATTTGGATATCGTCCATCTATAAAAGAATTCATAAATGAAACAGAGTAAAACAAAGTTTGTCATAAAGTCAGGAAAATTCTTTAAAAAATAAACTATAAAGCTAATTACTGCTGCAGTGTTCAAGAAGCATTGAAGTAATTTCTATTTTGTTGTAATTCTATTTAGTTCATTTCTAACTTAAAAGATTTTTTGGGGGTTGGATGGCCGAATGGTTAGTATGTGCGCTCTGTATCATAAGGTCTGTCATTGAGTCATCTGGCGTGGTTTCGATTCTCTGGTTGTAGGTGACAAGGAGTAGGTTTTCTCCGGGTCCTCCAGTTTCTTCCCACTTCTAAAGACCCCTACACGCAAGCGAATTATTGAAATAAATGTGAACCATGTGTTGAGTGGACGTTAAACCTCATTTCTCTCTCTCTCTCTTAAAGATCTGTTAACATATGGTTTATTTAACAGGTGGAATCAGTGATATAAAAAATAAGCTGATTTAAATAAATGTACCTTTTACTGCTGGAGCGACTTCAACAAGATTCTGAAAAGATGAAAAAAAAATTAATGTTCATTTGATACATTGATCACAGAAAGAATTGAAGTTCAAGGTCTAATGGTACACATTTAGTAGTGATGTTTTGTACTGTATCAGGAAAGTAATCGATGTTTTAAATAAGTAATTTGGTTAACCATCACAGAAAATTATATTTCATTGCCTGACAGCAATAATAATACACTTAAACAACACATTCACAATTACAAAGTGTGCAACAACAGAGAACCTACAGTATAAAACATTTCGGTTTGCTAAGGTAGTACATAGCTACCATTGCTAAAATAAATTAAGGACCTTTAATGTTTTATAAGAACATACCTACAGGTAGGTAAGCATCAAGTTTTATGAAGATTTTACCTCAATAGCTGCCATTTCTTGAATAAATTCAGGACCTTTAGCATGTTTTATAAAACAACATGTAGGGGATATTAAAGCATGTTGCTGCCATGGTTCTGCTACTGGTTCCCAGTCTATAACAGCTATACCACAACAAAAACACACAACTTTAGTAGCTACACCTGTAAGAATATCAGTATATATATACTGTAGAACACAGAAACAAAAACTAAATAACTTTTCCACAGGACTGGGAGATCCTGACTCGCCTCATATGAACCAAATATATACATTTGTGACTACTGTTTGTCTGTTCGGAGTTTGGAGGCTGGGTGGCCTTTGGTTGAACTTGTGCGTGTTAGATCATAAGGTCTGTCATTGAGTCAAGTTGCATGATTTCAATTCCCTGCTTGTACGTGACATATGTTAGTTTCACGTGTGCGCTGTTGCTGTATCATAAGGTCTGTCATTGAGTCAACTGGCGTGGTTTCAATTCCCCGGATGTATGTAACAAGGAGTAGGTCGTGGGTTTTCTCCGGGTCCTCCGGTTTCCTCCCATTGCTAAACGGTTAAACCCCATTTCTTTTCTCTCTTTTTTTTAGTGTATTTATTGATATTAATACATGTCTGGCACAGGCCTGTAGGCTAGTGTGTACATTAAGTTGAATGTTGATTACAATGTACCCATTTTATTATAAACTATTTTCACTATACCTGTATGAAAGAAACCAGCCTCTGCTAGTTGACATTTGGTTAGTTTGTACTGTTTGGGCCAATATTTAAAAGATGATATTCTTTCTTCTGTTGACATGAACTGTGGGTGTAGAACAGGATAAGTAGTAACACACCCCGCACTTGGTTGGTTACTTTTGTTCAACAGCTTTCTTCTTACCAGTGCTTCTAATCCTATGGACACATTTCCCACATCGATTTTGCTGACCATCGGACAAAGATGTCGACCTTCTGGAAAGAGTCTTTTATGGGTATCTCTAACATTTACTTCATAAAATGATGCACAACCTACACAATAGACACACTGAACTATGTCGTTGTCAACATAAATGAATCCATCTTCGGCCCATTCTCTAGCCTTTTCATTTTGTGGAGTGGGAAATGTAAGGACGCGAAAAGATTCATAAAGATCAAAAATTGTATGGCCAATTTTAGGATATATGATTTTGCCTGTATATTCTTCAACATGGTCAAAATAACTTGATCTCGATCTTATATTATCATTATTTAAAGTACTGGTATTGGTGTTCATTTTTGTCTTATTGGTGGAATTAGGAACCGTTGTTTCACTGTTTTCATTTAACTGGTTACATGCTGTTCCAATATTTAGGAATAAATTTCTTTGAATATTATTTCTTGACTGTTGTTGTGATTGTGATGAGCTAATTTCACGAGTGACATTTCTAGGAGGAATTTCATGATTATTGTCACTTAATTCCTCTCTCTGGGTGGTTTCCTGTGGCTGTGGAGCATTCTTATTTGGATGCTGACTAATTAATGTGCCAACATGATTAGATGCTACAGCATCTGTAGGAGTAGTAGATGCACACAAATCATTGTGGTCGTTGTTATTGTCAAAGTCGGGTGATTGGAGAAATGGACAGTATGGGTTCAATATTCTGTGAACGCCAACTGGAGATTCGTCATCCCAATAATCATACCGAGCTTTTGATTTGCATTTAAAACATTGAATACCTTCAACAGGTCCTCCATAATAAAACCCAGCTCTTGCTAACTTAATAAACGATGTTTTCTGGCTAACAGAAACAGTTTCATTATTTTGAAAACGCTCCGTATGTTGACAGTCGCTGTCATTCACATTAGTTGTGTCTGTATACTTTTCAGTCCGATTTATCAGCCCACTAAACGAAGCCAAGCGCACAAAATGTTGTGACAACAGATTATAATTAGTAGCAAAATCCATCGTTGAAATAAACTGGCAATCAAAACAAATAATGCAAAATACACTAACACAATCCTTTAAAACACAATAAAAATAGATCTATGCAAACTTCGAAAGACGCCACGACGCCATTTAGGGAAATGTGGGTTTTCCCCATAATAATATATAGACGTCATTGGTTTAACCGGGTTTCCCCATTAGTCTCGGACATCCAGATTCCCCCATAGTCACAATCATATGATATATGGGCACAGCCCACGGATCACAAATGATTTCCCCATTGATTTTTCCCCAAATTTTCATGCGGCAATCTCTTGCTCAAAAGTACGTTATGAGGTTCACAATGGAAAACTTGAGATACATAAACTGGAAGTAGAGACTACTAAACATGCAATTTTCCGCCCTACATTTCAACCTTTATATAACTAACCTCTTAACTCTCGTATCCTTCCGCCTCAAAGTCATGAATGTGCACCAAAACCTGGCAGAAAATGTATATTCAAACCCCTTTCTTCGATTTTACAACCAAAAGTAAAAAAAGATCGCCATGTAAAAAAGATTGAAAAGGGAAATAGGGAGAGAAAGACTGAAATGATGAAGACTAGTTTTCAATTATTTACCCTTATTTACTGACCTAGTTAATTTTGACGCAAACTACTGAAGCGTATTAGAACCAGGGGGGTTGGAATGCCGAATGGTTAGCGCGTGCGCGCTGTATCATAAGGCCTGTCATTGAGTCAACTGGTGTGATTCCGATTCCCCGGTTGTACGTGACAAGGAGTAGGGTCGCCTGTCCAGTCTCGTTGATTTCCTCCGGGTCCTCCAGTTTCCACCCAATGCTAAAGACCCCTACGCGAAAGCGAATTATTGAAATAAAATTGAACCATATGTTAGTCCCAAAATGACCCAATTTGTGTCGAGTGAGCCTTAACCCCCGTCCTCTCTCTCTCTCTCTCTCCCTCAGGACCATAATGAAATAAAATGGGATTAAACGTCCTACTGTTCAGCTCCTGCTGTGGTTAATGAAGACGGGCATACGTCATACAGTGTGCTATGAGGGAAATTTTGCCCGGACAGCGGCACTATGGCCTACTCTTATATGGAATTCCAACTGCCAAGGATATTTTACGTGCACGCCAATGTATACACGGACCTCGGTTTTCCGTACCACCCAAATGACTAGACAGCTGCGCTTGTCAGACTCTCCATCCTGCACCACTGACAAGGGGAAACCCCGCCCGAAAATCCCGATAAACTTTCTCGGTCAATGCAGAGATTGTACACGCATCCTCCATATAAATAAATAGAAAAACAATTTCTAATCAAATACTTATTAGGAGATAGTAGTTTCAACTTAGGAGATAATAAATCCTAATTTGGACTTGATAGGCGAACTATCATTTAGTTTTTGAGCGATATTTACATACGCACAGAAAACACGTCCAATTGTATTACTTTTTAAGCAACAACAGATTTGCGGTAAATCTGTTTGGGATCATCACGGAAGCTGTTGGATAAATAGACTGCTCATAGCGTACGGGTCCGATCAACTTAAAATGAATGAAATGCCCAAGAAACAATTTCGTCACGACAGGCGAATCTGGGTGCCCAAATGGTTGGGTGGGGCAGCTGCCTTGCCTACCACAGCCGGATTAAAGGAAAGAGGTAGAGGGATTCGGGACTGATAGTTCATAAATATTCAAAAAGTAAAAATCATTTGGGGTCAACGTTAATTGCAGGACCGTCTAACAGCATAGGCACATTGGACGGGATCTCCAATAGAAGGCTCGATCTCGCTTTAACCCCGTACATCCTATCAAGGCTATAAAACTCGCGGTCGTTGCTTCAGGAACATCTTTGGGCGGTTCCCCGAAAGACCAGAGAATTTAGCGACCCAGGATTAAAATTTGAAAATATAAATTTAAATTTATATTAAATACCAGTAATGATAATGTTATACAAGTCCTTGGGGCCTGTTTGTGTTTGTGAATGTTGGCGTTTAATGGGGCGTTGGACCTAATCCACCTTTTCAGACAATGCTTCACCAGTAAAGCATTAACAGCATGGATTTTTTAAGTTCCTTATCCCCACCATCCGTCCTCAACACAACCCCCAAAAAACAAATGCCCACACCCCAAACAAAAACCCCCCAATAATTCAACAGACTACAGTTAATTGCAGACAGATATTTATTCTTAGAAAATGAAGATAAGTAAAGTGTATTGGTTTAGATATGTTACAACAGTGGGTATAAGTTACAGCATTGTCATAACATTGGGTTATATGTTACAACATTGGATTGTATGTTAAATCATTGTGTTTAGATCCTAAACTTTTTATCCATTATGATGTCCACCTCTTAGCGCGAAAACATTACATTTGTGCTTGTGTCCGCATGACTTTCCGTTCTTATGTCCGGGGTGCTTTTTATATCCACGCCCATAACTTGGTCTTTGTCTTGGCCAAGGTTGAAGCCCAAAACCATATTGATTATAGTTAAATAATCTATCATAGAAATAATCGTCATAATAGTCACCATGAGGGGCATAATCCCCATAACCAAACTGTGCTGATCTTTTATTATGTGTACTGCGCTTCTTTCTTTTACCACCACCACCACCTTCTTCCACCGTCACAGCACCACTACCTTCTTCACCATCGTCCCCATGTTTATCTTTAAATAAAAATAATTTTGGGTATAAAGACCACCCACTACCAATTTCAGTCTTCACACACATAGTTCATTCATTATTTACTCCAATATCGAATTCCAACTATCAGGGATTCTTTTCATTCTGCACACAGAGATCCATCTACTTCATACTTCGAGAATAAATCTCTGTCCTGAATGGCCGCCATTAGTATATTGTTTCTTTTGTAATTTGATTCTGCTCTGTTTCACATCTGGCATACACGCAGACTAAATAAACCTATTCAATTCCATCAAATGGAAGCAGAATACAAATTCTCAAAATTTTCGAAGTATGCTTTAGTTTTTTTCGACTAAAATCCTCGATTTAGGACTTAAAATGTCGGTCAACTAGCTTAGTGTCTATTCTCAAGCGGCTCGAACTGTAGACCGGCTGCCTAAGTTTAGTATGAGATTCTTTTACGCGTACACCAGTGTATACGAAGCCTCAATTCAATGTCCCGGGAATATTTTAGGGATCAAAAATGTCGACGAGCATTACTCACCTTTACTCTCGCTACATGTTTCACCGAAATATGGACGACAACAATAACAATCAAATCCATTAAATTTATCCACACAAATTCCTCCGTTGGTACATGGGTTAGATTCACATTCGTTAATTTCTATAAATGGAAAAAAATACCACGAAATGTTCATATTAGATTATTTCTAAAAATGAAAGTTTTAATTACAATAATATAATAAATTTAAGAGTTGAAATCTCATTCATTCATATTGACACAAAGTAGGCCTATGATAGTACTATATGGAGTGGGAATCGAGTATGACGCCATCGCTGCCATCTTGGAAACGTCACATCAAACACCGAAGCGCAATAATAATTGTCTAAGTCAAGTTTCATGTCGATCGTACTTGAATGTGTAAAGTACGTCGCCCCCAGGAAAAGAACAAAATCTTCTAGCGGCATTTAGCGATTTGGAAACACATTAACAGAACACAATTTTTTTTATGGGAAACAATCACGGGTTTCATTTTATAAGCACGCCGTTTCGACAAGTATCCTCTTATCGTTATCAAGCACAATGAAGAAGAATAACAATACACTATACAATATTCATTAAGGTCTTGCTACACTGATCTACAATTCCCGAACTTATAGCTACGTTACCTCCCGTTACAGCGTGACACAAACACACTCAAACCAAACATGGCGACTTCCACGGAAACCTTGAAATTGAACGGACCTTGAACTTTGCAACTCGATTATCACTTTCAGACATTTTAGTTGGAAAGCGCGAGACTCGGTATTCGCGATGATAGCTGAGTCAGTACTCAATCGAAATTAGTGCCGAAATATGCTGGATATGACGTGATGGGCTTGATAAGACATACGGAGTTAAAGCGAGATCAAGCCTTCTATTGAAGATGATATAAAGGATGTTGTAGCCCAAATAAACAAAACTGTCTTTAAAAACAAAAAGACGCTATCAAAATGATTTCCATACCACATTGAAACCTCATATTATAGCCGATACTGTACTAATATTAACATCTGACAGCAATTTCCATTGACCTTTGTGTATATTCAATATAAGGAAGGTGCGGGTGGAGTGGGTTAGTCTGATTTGTATTTTTTAACATGCTTTTAACTGCAGTCTTACAGAAGAATTGGAACTGAACACATGTATCCCATTCTCCACCAGGCATTCCGTTGCTCCTCCGCACCCAACCATATGTTTCTAAGGTTGTTAATTATGTAGGCTATAATTTGGTCGAGAAAGCCTTTATACTGCACGTGACATCTTTGAAACCCTGTTTCTGAGGATGAGTGCGGACGCGCCAAAAAATGTAGAATAAACAAACCTATACTACACGTGACACCTGTGTAGCCGGGTGCGCATGTACATTGGAAATCATTAACCATATCAGTGCATGTACCACCGTTATCACACGGTGAACCACTGCAATCATCGATGTCTACAAAAGAATAAAATTTAAAATATACTCTTCAAAAAAAAAAAAAAGAAAAAAAAAAGAAACGCATAGTGACATTTCGTCGTCGCTGAACCAAACTGTTCTCCAGTGTTGCTGTAGCCATACCCCGTGTATCTGAACCCATTGACGTCGGATTTGACGGTGTGGGCTTATGTCAAAGCAGCAGCTCTAACGGAACGCCTGGCTCGTAATCCGGTTTCACGTGGGTGTTTACGGACTGTCTGGTCTGAGATCCTACGTCGTCCAGGAATTGCTACTGCAGTAGAGGTCGCTGTAGTGAACCGTTTCCACAGATGACGTAACGGGATTTGAGGACCCAGGGCAGGTGAGGTCACTCTTGTTTGGCCTAGGGCTGGGCGGTCACGTGTTGAAGTTCGCTGTCGGTACCTATCTAAAAGGCGAGACATGGTACTCTGGGAAACATTCAGCAGCCAGGCTACATCTGTCGGGGATTTAGCTACTTGCAACCGACCGATAGCGTTGTTGCGTTAGTCTTCGTTCAGATGTCGCATCACTTGGCTCGTTGAGTGTTTGCATGTGCAACTGATTTTGAAACCGAGAACCCCGGAATTAAAGACCTTAGATTTGGGTTTCACGCAAAAGCTTGCGAAGTTGTTAAACTCGTATGTCTTAGTGCAATCAAGCGAAAACAAATTTCGGCAAAAAGTATGACCAGTCACAATTAGTGACCCTACATTTCAAACCAATCATGAATTTTTGTTATCCTTACATAACGGCATTGAAAACAAGTAGGATTTATGGAAGCAACGATCCCGTTCAAATAAAAAATGATGAAAAAAAATGGGTTATGCGTTTCTTTTTTTTGAAGAGTATATAATGGGCTATAACGTCTCGTTGACAGTACATAAATGTCATTTTGAGACAACAATAAGGCAAGTTTTGTTTCTATGGTTACGTATTGCTTGCTCGGAGGTACTTTTTAATATACGAATACCCTATCTATGATATATTATGGTCTGATAGTATATATTTGAAAAATTTATTCTGGCTTGCCGTCCCTTTCTTAACTAAACTAATAAAGAGAAAAGCATTACCTGTGTTGCAGGTATGTCCAATGTAACCTGGAGCACACTGACAAACATAGTCACCTAGAAGATCTAAGCACGTGGCACCATTGTTACATGGGTCATGAGCACATTCATTGATATCTGTAAATACAACATAATATAAGTTCCTGTGTATGATAATGTGATTTTAAATGGGGTTTAACGTCCTATTGTTCTGCACCGACTGGGCTAATAAAGCCAGGCATACGCCATACGGTGTGCTATGAGGAAATTTTCAACTGGACAGTAGTGCTACGATCTACTCTTATTTCAAATTGCAACACTCAAAGGCTCTTGTAAGTACACGCCAAAGTGTACGCAGGACATCGGTTTTTCGTCCTATTCGAATGACTAGACACTGTCCTTCCTTGCCAGGCCCTCCTTTCTGTACAACTGGTTATTCAGTCAGTGTCTTACTCACTCAACCACTGCGGCTCCCGTGATTTTAAACAAATTAGAGTCACGGCGGATCATTGAATAAGACGTTGGTTTACACTGGTCGGGAGGTACCGGGTTCGATCCCAGTTATTGGCCAAAAAGTTCCTGGACTGGGACGCAATGACGACCTCTGCGTCATGGATTTAGATATTTTGAGCACCATACAGCTTTTGCACCCATTCTCAAATGGAATAAAAATGTGGTTTCGATGCAGTTTTCAGCGCCATAATCATGCATATTGTTCAACCAGTGTCCAACAACCCATGCTACAAATCGACTCTAACATTTTCCACACAGGCCAAACTTCTGTATACTTACCAGTTTCACAATTCATGCCGGTTAAACCTACTGAACAATCACAGGTAAATCCAGGTCCACCAATAGTGTTAACACATTCAGAATTACCCTGACATGGCGATCCTGAACAATCATCAGTTTCTGGAAGACAAGAAAGGGTCAAATCTAGATTAAGTTCATAGCAGATATCTTCCAGGTATAAATTGCAATAAAGTGCCGAAAGCAAAATAAACGTAATATTCGTCGCTTTAATTAAAATAGTAATTGTGTTTCATATAATGTTTTTGTGTTTATTCATTTTATGTTTATCTTGCAAACTTTAAATGACATATTATGACCTTTAAGAGCAGAAAATGGTCTAACGCGTGTAATTTAGATCAAAGGGTCTATTATTGAGACAAGTGAGGTGGCTTCGATTTCCCGCTTGTAGGTGACAAGGAATAGGGAGAGAGAGAGAGAGAGAGATAGAGAGAGAGAGAGAGAGAGAGAGAGAGAGAGAGAGAGAGAGAGAGATGGGGTTTAACGTCCACTCGACACAAACTAGGTCATTTCGGGACTAACATGTGGTTTAATTTTATTTCAATAATTTGCTTGCGCACAGGGGTCTTTAGCAGTGGGAGGAGGACCCGGAGAAAACCCACGAGGTTGGACATGCGACCCTACTCCTTGTCACGTACAACCGGGGATTCAGCAGACTTGAATTCGTCAAGCATTAAAAATACATTTGATGTAGATATATAGTGGAAATTGTAAAACAAAATGTCGGATTTACTTTGTTCGCTGGGTCATGAATTCTTAATCTACATGATTATATATAACACCAAATTATTAAAAAAATGTATCAACAAACCACATTCACAGAATTTTCCAGTGAATCCAGTGTTACAAGAACAAGTAAAACCATTAACTTCATCAGTACAAAGTCCATTTCCACAAGAATGACCATCACAATCTTCTATGTCTGTCAAAATAATATTATTGATATAATGTAAAGTATAATAGTTCAGGTGGTAGGAAGGGTAGAGGTCAATATGGACAGAGTGGGGAGGGGGAGGGGGAGGGGGAGGGGGGAGTAAGAAGGGTCTTGGGTAGACGGCAGGAAGGGTGGACGGTTGGACATGTTGACTGTAGATTGTAGGAGGGGTGGGGGTAAGAAGGATGGAGGGTAGAATTTAGAGCGGTATTAAACAATATTTGGGGCTGAGGTGGAAATTATAGTCTACGATAGCCTCAGCAATTCAGAAATCATAGTGGTAGGGCCGTGTTTATATCTCGTGACCTTGACAAAATCTGCAGGTGGCCTTAATATTTAACCGACTAGCAGTGGCTCAGTGACTTTAACGGCGCTTACTCCCTAACCAGGGGGTCTCGTGTTCAATCTCGGCTTTGGCCACGTCACAAGGTCTTAACCGGCGTGGAAGAAAATCAATAGTTAAGTCAATAATAAACAAACAAATAAACATGGCTGACCTGTCTGACAATTGTCCCCTGTGTATCCTGGTGCACATTGACACACATACTCTCCTAGTTGATCTAAACATGTAGCTCCATTTAAACATGGATCATGTCCACACTCATTGATGTCTGTAAAAATAGATAAATTATCATAACTATTATACTCAGTATTACATGTCACGCAAATCGAGGTCCGGTGCACGTAAAAGGACCCTTGGCAGTAGTGTCGCTGTCCGGGCAAAATTCCCACATAGGACAATGTATGATATGGCGTACGTCCGTCTTCATTAGCCCAGTCGGTGCAGGAAAATAGGACGTTAAATCCAATTTCAGTTCATTTCACACGTCACGTGGAGTTATGTGGTCGAGGGTTCTATAGATCATAAGGTCTGTTATTGGGTCAAGTGGCGTGCATCTGATCCCAACCATGTTCGTGACAAGAAGCAGGGTCGTTTGTCCAACCTCCCGGGGTTTCTCCTCACCGTTAAAATCCCCTACGCGCGAGCGAATAATTAAAATACAATCACGATTACTGGCGTTTCCACCATGCTATTACCACCACGCTTATGGCGATCTTGACGCCCTCTGCTGAGACCATTTTCCGTCGCCGTAGCAGCGTAGTAAGGACGCCACCCTGGTCTGCGGGGGGGGGGGGGGTATTAACTATGATTATACCTGTTTCACAGTTGTCTCCAGTGAGACCTTCAGAACATACACATGTGGTGCCTGGCCCATGTAACGTATTCACACACTGAGAGTTACCAAGGCATACTGCATCAACACATTCGTCGATTTCTAAAAAACAAAACAAACCCCAAAACAACACATTTTTAAAACATGAACAAACCCGAGGCTCTGTACACAATTTCGTTTCATTTCATTTAATTTAATATGTTTGGAAAAATGCTGCCATCCAATATTTATAGTTTGAAAGTCTATATATATTTACCTTATATGGAACACTGTTCATGTAATAAATTTACTAACAACATTCGCGGTTTTCACCAGTAAAATCATCATTTCATTTCAGTTACTATAATTTTTGGAAAAATATGCTTTTTTGCGAAGGCTGTCATCTAAAATTTATAGTTTGTATTTGCCTTATATGGAATATTGTTCATGTAATAAATTTACTAACCACATTCACAGTTTTCACCAGTAAAACCATCAGTACATATACAAACATAGTCATTAGTAGTGTCAACACACTGTCCACCATTTGCGCATGGATTGGGGTCGCATTCATCTATGCCTGAAAATAATATTTGTTTGAAATTTCACAAAATTCGTTTATTTTGCATTATTGAGTCCCACATTAACAAACTCTAGAATTCGGGATCTAGACGACATTATATAAAAAGGTAATAGTGTTTCTAAAAACAAATCAAGTGGTCTAGAGAGTCGCCTTTCGAGCTCTAGCTTCCGATCGTTGTTTTGATCCGTGATGTGAGTGTTTGCATCTTGGACAGGGCGCCGTGTTTACTCCAAAGACCTGTGTTTACATTAAAGACCCATGCGCAGGGATTATTAAAATAAGATGGAAGCGGACGTTAAATCCTTAAATTATTCCTCAATTCAAGTCTCGCTACAGCAAGGGAAGACAACTCTGTTTGGGAGAATGCATTAGGCGATGGTTAGAAGCGTGCTCCAGTTAGTTCCATGACTCTGATAGTCCTCTCATATATTTATTTATTAGACAACAAGTCGTTCCCGCGAAAGTTCCCCGGGATTTTGCAGCGTGGTTTTGCCTTATCAGTGGTGCCTGGCAAGCAAACGAGGTCCAACGGTGCATATTCACGTGTACATAAAAGACCCCTTGACAGATGGAATTGGAATTAAGAGTGGGGCGCCTCATAACACACTGCATTGCGCATACTCATCTTTATTGGCTAGGTTGGTGCAGAAAATAGGACGTTTTATAAACTACCATATCTTTTCATTTTATAACAACTGAAAACAATACTTACACACTGAGCAGGTGGTTCCAGTAAAACCAGGCTCACAATCACAATAAAATCCATTGATAACATTGTTACAAGTACCATGGTTATTACATGGGTTCGGGGTACAATTGTCAGTCACTGAAATAGACAAGAAAAAAGGAGCCCGGCTAAAATTAATTCCCAGTCTCTCATCAGCTTCCTATGATATCCTTTACACTGGCTGTGGGGAGATACACATTCATTTGCGTACATAGAGGTGGACAAGGGGGTGGCGGACCTTCGGGGATCGATTTCTTCGGGATGTGTGATCAAAGAGTTTTCTATCGACTGGTTGTGGAAGAGTTTCATAGAATGACCATTAATGTACACGAGGCCGATTATGCTATAACTCTCATAAGTGTACCGAAGTGTCTTTGCTAATGGAACCTTGCGCAAAAGTGAAATTGCATATGCTGGCTTTTTGTATCTAGAGATGTTTCATTTTCATTCATTATACCTATTTTTTTATATTCAAGAAGTACGATAGTATTATATGCACATGAAGCCGAGCATGACGTCATCGCCGCCAACTTGGAACTGAAGTCCGTCAATCGATACATGAATGTCCAAGGCACAAGCTTTCCACGTTTCATTTTGACCGTACTTGAATTGGCGGAGCCGTAGGTATTTTCGAAGAACATCGCCCCGAGAAGGACAAAAACCAGATGAGTGCCGCTTGCGGATCAGTTTCTGGTCCAAAAATGTTTAATCTCCTTAAAGAATACCGTGTAGGGATTGTAGTTTCTTACCTTCAGAACAAGTGGGACCTTCGTATCCAGGTGGACAAACACAGAATGTACCAGGACCGCCATCTTGATTAACACACAGAGCATTATTTGCACAAGGCTGATCTGCTTGGCATACGTCAATTTCTGAAAGCACCATAAATAAGCATTATACTCCGATCTTAAAATCTAATTACAATTCTAGATCTCCACTGACCTCTGGCCGTAATTAGTCTAAATTAATTGGCCGGTAACCTGCGATGAGTTCGGCATTTCGTACAATTTAATTTGAAGAAAGTCTTAATCTTACAGACCATGGACTCATTTGAGGTGATTGAGGAACCCTTGCAAATTGTAAAAGCTGGATCTCTAAAAAGAATATCATGAATGTTTTTAGAGAAACTGGGAAGGGGGTGTAACTTTCACTCAAAACAAACTAGGCCATTTCGAGACAAACAAATGGCACAATTTCAATAATTCGCTTTTGCGTGGGATCTTTAGCAGTGGGAGAAAACCTGAGGACTAGAAGAAAACTCACGAGATTGAGAAGGTGAACTTACTCCTTGTTACGTATAAGCTTGGGGGTCGAAACAACGCCGCTTGACTCAATGGCAGACCCTGTGATCTAAAGCGCACACATTAAACCACTCGACCACGCGACGCCCTATTCATATATGTGGAGAGAAGCGATATAAGACACTTACCACATTCACAGAGTGATCCTTCAAAACCACTTGGACAGTGACTACAAGTAAACGTATTATCACCATCAGTACATGTTCCACCATTACATGGGTTAGGGTGACAATCATCTATATCTGTAATTAAAACATCACATCATTAAATAAATCTGTAATTAAAATATTAAACCATCATCTAAATCTTTAATTAAAACATTAGACCACCATCTAAATCTGTTAGAACATTATACCATCAACTGAGTCTGTAATTAAAATATGCTCTTCAAAATAAGTAGGGGATATTGAAATGCAAATACCTATGCAGGTTGTGATTTGATAAATAGTCATGGACACTTGACATGCTTTGAATGTATGTTCACAATAGCGCCATACACTTGGGGGGGGGGGGGGGGTCATTGTCAAATTTGACACTTCAAGGAAGGGTTGATGAAAACTGCCGCTTGCTGGTTTATCCTATCCATGTTTGCTTTCCTATCAGTTCTTGCATAAGATTTACTGTTTAGCGTATCATTGCTTTAGTGTGTTACGTTTAATTTGATCGGGAGTCGTGTTCGTCGACGTCAACGTCAACCGACAACACTGCAAGAATTGGCCGTGGTACTGCAAGAGGAGTTGGTCTGATTGCCCCAAATAGTGATTGGACGGTTGATTAGAAGAGTACCACGACGAATTGCTAAACGTCTGGTGATTGGTGGAGCAATTACTCATTATTAAGACAAAAAATCAAAAACGTCCATTTTCACTTTTGACTGTGTGTCTCTTTGCCGCCCATATGAACTGTTTATGTTCATGTGTAGGCAAATGACCTGTTATTAACATACACTGGTTACCTCTAATAAAAAACAGCAGTGCATTTCCGCAGTTTTGTATTGTTTCTGAATATCCCCTACTTTTTTGAAGAGTATATTAAATATTAAATCTGAATCTGTAATTAAAACACCAAACGATCATCTGAATCTGTAATTATAACATTAAATGATCTTCTCAATCTATAATTAAAACATTAAATGATCTTCTCAACCATAAACATAAAGTAATCTCAAACCATCTTCTGAATCTGCAACTGAAAACATATAAGAATGATTATCTGAATCTGCAACTAAAAATATATTAGAATAATTATCTGAATCTGCAACTAAAACATAAAATGATTATCTGAATCTGCATCTAACAACATAAAATGATTATCTGAATCTGCAACTAATAACATAAAATGATTATCTGAATCTGCAACTAAAAACATAAAAAGTGAAAGCACCACTCTTCTTCGATTGTAGACTAAAACGTCAACATAAAATGCAACGGATGGAGCGAAAATGAGAATTGTTATAAATAGAAGAAATAAGCCAATGCTAGTAGTGATGGGTCTTGACCGAATAGAGGGTGGGGTGCTATTTAAAACATACTTACTCGTTTCACATAAATCCCCTTCGAAACCAATGGAACATTCACAGTCAAAACCAGCAATTAGATCAATACAGATGCCGTTATGGCTGCATCCCTGACCAGCACAGTCGTCAATATCTGCAAACGGTATTTATACATACATAAATAGAGGCATACTTTGAAAAACACCATTGCCTAAATCTGGGGCGAATAATGATATATGAGTGAGAAAGGTGGATCAAGTTAGTTTCGTTTTATCATCATATCACATATTCTCCAACGCGAAGGGGAACAAATACTCAGTTGGCCAGAGGGCCCTGAGATTCCAAATATATAAAAGCAATCGTCGCCGAGCTCTACACATTTGTTGGACTCGACTATTATGCAATTAGTTAGTTTAATTTTAGATACGTTTAAATTAAATTGTTTGTGTTCGATGTTTTGAAGCAAATCTGCAAAGACAGATTTAATACACATGATTGACAAAGTCTTGGGATCAAGATTATTCTCCCCCCCCCCCCCCGCCCCAAACAATAAAAAAAGAAGAAACGAAAAACCCAAACAAAACATTAATACTAATAAAAAGCTAAAACAAGATGTGATTCTGTTGTACCATTGGCAGTTGTAATTCGATATAAGGGTAGACCGTAGCGCCGTTCTCCTAGTTCAATTTTCCCCATAACACACTGTATGACGTGTCCTACTTATTTATCCCGATCGGAGCAGAACAGTGGGACGTTTAACCCCATTTCATTTCATGTCGTAGCTATATGGTGTAATACAATAAATGGTTGGTTCAACTTACTGTTCTCACACAGATCTCCATCGTATCCAGGTGGACATTTACACTCAAATTGCCCTGGATGTTTCGGGGTACACTGGGCGTTGTTAGCACAGGGATGGTCGGTACATTGTCCTCTGTGACGTGGCCCTGATGGTCGTCCTGGTGGTCGCCATGATGGTGGCCCTGAAGTTGACCAAGATGGTGGCTCTGTTGGTCGAATTTGGCGTCCTGGTCGCTGTTGGTCTCTCAAATTAGTACGACCTGAAAAGACATAATGCAATACGTGTGTCCGATTAAACACAGATCTTATTTCGTTTTATTTTTTATAGTTGAAAATTTCGTTTTACATGTCTTTACTACCTTAGGATCTGGAAGATTTGTTGTATAACCCGCGTTATGGTTGATGCGAGGGATTAGTCAATGGAACGGCCTGTTGCGGCGAGTTCTTGGCGTACGATGCACGGAACTGCGAGTGTCCTACTAGAAACATCAACGCTGATTGGCTAATCCAATGTCTGACGTCATAGGTCAAAAGCTGCTCGTATGACCCTGACGCGACCTCCCACGACAAATGGTCAGATCTTCATGTAGTAGTTACCCAGATCTGTATTTTAATTGGTAGTAGAGGTCATCGAAAGTATAAAATAAAACGAAACGAAATATAGATCTGTATCTTAATCAGATTGGGTCATTGTCGATCATATTCACACATATACAATTTTAAGTCAATATGGTAGATAGATAAATTTAATTGACACAAACATAATAAATTACATATTTATTCATGTTACAAAATTTGATTTAGAACAATCTCTATAATTCGTTTAAAATTTCACCTTCGTAGATAATTCCAATGTTGAAATATGCCCACACAGCAGCTATGTCTCAATAAAGGAAAACTTAGATGTTGACAAAATTTAATAAGGATTAGGATCCTTTAAGAAATCTAATCTCTATCGTGTCCACAAGCTTTTCCGGACAAATAATATATCCCTGTAACAGATAATCTTAAGTTGCTGCTAATCAAAAAGGTTCATCATGTCTGATTACAATGCTCAATGGGGCTAATCTTCTCGGAGCTACAATATTGTATCCGCGTCCAGTCTCAACCGCAACTACAATTGATGCACTACTCGAGGCTTTGCGCAAGTAAAATTAGGTCGAATTGCAAATTTTCAACACATATCATCACAGTTTGCATGGAAATAAGTAATTATGTTACAGATAGTGAAGAGTGGAACATTGAAATCTTATCTTGCCGAACAGTTTTTCTGTATTTTCGAGTAACGTAAAATCGCGTGATTCTTGTTCGGCGGTAATTTTGAAATGAACAGAAATTTCGCATAGCAGTTGGGTTTAATCAAGTCATATAATTATGCGGTAAGGTTTCACCTTTATTTCAATGGGAATTGGTTTGTTATATGTTAAGCTATGTGCAGTACAGTTTGAGGTCAGTGTAATGGGAAATTAAGGGAGTTATAGGCCAGTAACTTTTTTGTAGTCAAATAACTACAAAACTTGCTCAAAGGAAGGCCTTACGACGATCCACTAATGTGGCTGGAGCAAGACGGAAGACATCAGTAGTGGGACAATTTCCAATCTTATCGCAGTTCTAATGCTTTACAGATGTAGAACCCTTTACAGATGGCATTCGAAATAAGAGTAGCCCGTAGTGGACTGTCCGAGAAAAATCACCCTCATAGAACACTGTGTGACGTATGCCCGTCATCATTAGCCCAATCAGTGCAGAACGGACGGATATTTAACCACATTGTATTTCATTTAAACCAATAATGATCAGTGATATATTATTATAATTTACTTACCGTTTGCTTGTGCAATGGCCACCACACATGTGGCAAGAACTAATAAGACAAGGACCTTCATGTTGGTATCGTTGATAACTCCACGAATTGTCTCTGATTTTTCTGTCTCAAGCCAACCAGTTATTTATAGGATATTCTAGATATTAATTACACTACATCTGTTGTTTTATAATTTATATATTAATAACGCTTTATTAACTCCAATTAATCTCGGGTTTTTCACAGGTCAAATTATATGGTGTCTTTTTTTCATATTTTCTAATTTGAAGGATTGGTCCAATTATAACGAATTCCCGAATGTATGTTTTAGTTGGAACAGACAAGGGTTAAAACGAGGCGGAATAGAGAGAAACGAGGTTCAAATTCCACTCGAAACAAACTAAGTCATTTCGGGACAAACACGTGGTTTAACTGTATTTCAATTATCTGCTTTCGCGTAGGGGGCCTTTAGCAGTGGGAAAACCCGGAGGACCTAGAGATCATCTACGAGGTTGAACAGGCGATCCTATTCCTTGTCGGGGGGTTGGTTGACCGAATGATTAATTAGCACGTGCGCGCTGTATCATAAAGCCTGTCATTGAGTCAACTGGCGTGGTTTCGAATCCCCAGTTGTACGTGACAAGGAGTGGGGTCGCCTGTCCAACCTCGTGGGTTTTCTCCGGGTCATCCGGTTTCCTCCCACTGCTAAAGACCCCTACGCGCAAGTGAATTATTGAAATACAATTAAAGCATATGTTAGTCCCGAAATGACCTGGTATGTGTCGAGTGGACGTTAAACCCCATTTCTCTCTCTCTCACTCTCTCTCTCCCTCTCTCTCTCTCTCTCTCTCCCTATTCCTTGTCACCTACAAGCGGGAAATCGAAGCCACCTCACTTGTCTCAATAATAGACCTTTTGATCGAAATTACACGCGTTAGACCATTTTCTTTTCTATCTAAAGTAGGTAAATAACCGTGACGTATATTTATGAAAACGTGGCTACATATTATATTTTATTGTGACAACAGATTGCGGTATTTTTAATTTTTTGTTTAATTAACGACAGCCCTGTAATGGGTAAATGACCGTTGTTTAACACGTGGGATATATACTAGCATTCTATTATATAGCTGATTTGAAATCAAATGAAATCGGGTTTAACGTCTGACTTTTCTACATCGACTGGACTAATGCAGATGGGGTATATATAGCTGTTTTCGGTGATCTGGGCGTCAACAGTGTTGCGTTGCAGAACTTAAACCTGTCACCAGCATGGTCAAGGGTTCGAATTCCTACTGGTTCCACCCCACGTGTATTGAGTGTTACCTGCAGGACTGACAAGAAAAAAAACTGTTACTATTCCCTCTGGTGGGCGAAATATCGAGGTGTACTTGTGGAAATATGACAGTGGTATTTCGTAGAAGTGTAGCCTTGGTGGAAACACCGTTGTCGGGGAAAATTCTTCTCATGCACCTATGAAACATAACAGTATATATAAATAAGTCTCAGAATAACCAGAGTATTGTATTGGCGAGATGTTAAACTCCATTCTTTTACGTTCGCTTGCTATGAGAGAGAGAGAGAGAGAAAGAGAGAGAGAGAGAGAGGGGGGAGTTAACGTCCACTCGGGGCCTATATCTATGAAAGACCTGTACAAAGCCGATGGTTCCATTTATATTATTACATAGTCCACTTTGAGGTGTACACTATTTTGCCAAGGATTGTAAGTCCTG